ACGCCAATGTCCCTTCGACTGGCTGCACCCGATGGCCCGAGAGCCTCATTGCTTGAGGCTGCTTCGGCCTGAGTGGACGCGGATGGTTTACCTTCGGCGATGCGATCCTCCAATTGGCTCGCAATCCGCTGCTCTGTTCACGAAGTTGTGATGGGGCCGTATTCGAAGCGGGCTCGCCTTTGGCACGGGTGGCACCCGGCAGTTTCGAATGAACCACGGCGATGTCGGTGGCCAATTGAGTGGCCTGCCCGACAACTGACGGCCGCATGCTGTCCTTGCCTACGAGCTTACCCGGTACGCTAATGGAAGTTGTTGACATTGAAACCTCTCTGGTGCCATCTTTCCTCCGCACAGCTTCAGGAACTTGCGGCGTCATCGTAACGCTGGTGGAAGTCGGGGACTCGTTACTGTCCGGAACTAGTGAACTCGCGCTGGCCTTAGGAGGGGATTTGACCTTTTTGTGTTTCCGGCGTGGCTTAGCATCTTCGTTAATTGCGCCTGAATCAAGATTGCCAGGCGTACACGAGTCCGCCGAAAGCACACGCGAAGTCTTCCCCGATCCAACTGCGGATTTAGACTTGAACTTCGCTTTCTTGCGGTCCTTTTCGACCTTACCCTTCGATCTCTTGGACGCGTCCTTCTTAGCGACACTTTTGACCTCACCTTGAGACTCGGGGTCTTTGACATTTGCGACAAGCTCCTTGGTCGAGCTCGTCACCGAAGAAAAGTCGGCTTCTGTCACGGAGCCCACTGAACCAGGAACTACCGCGGACGACTTGTCGATCGACGCAACGGATGGATGAATTTCCGGCTCTGTCGCCAGCTTGCCACGCGATACTGCGGTGCCTCTCTTACGGGAAGCCTTATGTTTGTGCAGAGCAGAATGCCCGGGTGGCTTCGCTGCCCCGCACGGCTGCGCCAGCTCCTTGAGTGGCGGCGAACTGGCGACCGGTGCTTGACCTGCCGCTGAAGTGCTTGCGACGGACTCGGTGTCAGTCTGCGACTCCGACGGCGCGCGCACGGTCGGCGGAGGTGTACCGTGGGATCTCTTACTTTCCCCGTGGACGTCCCGGAACGCCTGCAGGCTGTCGTTTTCCTCTAGGAGATCTTCGACTTGGATCGTGGCTCCGTATTTCTCATCGATTTTGTCCTGGACGCCCTCGTCTTCCGATGAGCTACTCACAACAGGTGAACTCGAGACATCTATGACGACGGCTCGCAAGGGTACAACGCCCTCCATGTCCGTTAGGGGAGTACCGCCTCCGGACGCCTTCTTGACGCTCTTGTTTTTCTTGGAGACCAAGATGGAGCTGCCGTGTTGCTGGAAGCCGCGTCGTTTCTTGCCGAACTCGCTTCCAGCGCTGCTGGTGCTTCCACCTTCCAGGAACTTCTCTCGCGTTTCGCGTATCTTCTGGAGGCGCTCGCGCTGCCGACGGTTGCGTCGCATCTGCGTGTAGATGTCGCCCTGGAAGGCAAGCTCATTCTGCTGCGACGTACTGGGCTCGGACGACGTGTCTCCCGGCTCGCGGTTGACTCTTGACATGGCGTCGTCCTCCGTGACGTCCACCGTGGCGGAGCTTGCATCATCCATTAGACCTGGCGCCTCAGCGGCGCCACTGACCGTCCCGGCCTTGGGCGCGGCAGTCGCGGAAGTGCCGAGTGGGCGACGTAACGACGTGATCCGGTCGCCGATGCTCCTGGACAGCCTTCGCATGGGATTGAACAGGGTACTGACGTCGCCCGATTCCCAGAGCTGTACGAGCACCGTGCCGTACTTCTCGTAGAACAGTGCAGGGTGCAGCGTCCACGCCATTCCAGCCATGGCCACGGCAAAAGTCTAAATTTGGACGCCTTTTGTCTTGAGAATCCAACGACACGTAGTACCAGCTGCGATGCTCTTGGCGAACGAGATCTCTGACGCACGTTCCTCTGGCAGCTCGTAGGATAGCTCGAGATTGTGGCGAATGCCGCGTGCTCGCCTATCACGAGACCCCGATGATGTTGATTTGTTGAAATGTAGCACGTACGTGACGTACCCCACCACGGAGCTGGACACACGACCCACCCCACTCACTCTGAAATCTGCAGAAAGAGCGAAGCTTAGGTTCTTTTGTCTTTTTTTTTTTTGTGATTGCACGAGATTTTAAAAGCGGAGCTGTGGAAGCTTGCGGTAGCTAGGGCCGCATCCAGTGACTGCAAAAAAACTCGGCCAGCAATTTAATGCGGAAAGGGGGCGGTGGCATAGCCACTCTAAGGAAAAAAAAAAGTATGTGTGACACGTTTTCGGGATATATGCTGGTGTATAGTCCTCGCCAAACATCGCCGTTGGCGCAGTCACCAACCTGTATTCACTCGACTACAGTGGGCTTGAAAGTAGCTTATCTTTCATTTTGAGCCCAACAGTACTTTTTCTTGTTACTAAGAGCATTGAACAAAATTTTTTTTCTGATCCAGTTATTTAACTGTAACCGGCAGGCGAATCCGATTGCGATGTGTTTGCTAGAGCGCAGAATTCTATGAAAGGACCGACGATTTACTGGTCCCATAATAAACTGCCAAAGGAAAGCACGTTTACTATAAAAATAATAATCGCACATAAATGGTGCACCGAGAGAACACATCGGCAGCGGCGCGCCGAAGTCTCCACCGATTAAAAAAAGAACATAGTTAAACAACACTAATATATCATCAGAAATCTACGCGTGACCTCATATGCCCTCACTGAACACAGGCCACCAAACTAGCTGGCGCGTGTTCTGGCCGTAGAAAACCTTGCATCTTCCTGCCCCTGGAATACCAGCACATACAGGCAACAGCACTTACGCTGAACAGGAGTGATCGGACGCTTCCGACAATTTAGTCCCGCTGCTTACGTCATGTACTTAGGCGTCCTTAAAAAGGTCGTGAAGCGCTCGCTCTAAAGCGACAATGCGAAACCACCGGCGTCCACACGCACTAACTAGGTGACGTCATCATAAGAAATTCTTCGCCTATCGAGGAACGCGGAACTTTTCGGTACTTGCGTGCGTGCAACTGGGACACTCGTCAGCGTCTTTGTCATTCGCAATCGGCACTAACTTGAACTCTGACGTCATATTAAGCAGCGTCCTTGTGGGACGCGGATCGCGTATGGCAGATGGCGATGCTCGATACGCCATAGAGTTCCGCGTTCCTCGATAGGCAAAGCTTTTATGCAGGTCCACTTGAGCCGATGATAGTTAGCGCATGTGACTGCCAATGATGCCGCCATAGAGAAATAAAAAAAAAAGGTACTATGTGGTGCCGCATTGTCGTAGTAAAGCGACCGTTCCACGACCCCTTTAAATACGGGAACAAAGCTCCCGTAGCGGGTGCCGAAACATCGGCAAACTATGATCCCTTGGCAGGTGTATCCTGTCACATCTACACTAAGTAAAAACACTTACGCACTGCTTTTCTTTTTTTTTACTGTAGTTGCAGCTGAAGGAGTGGATTTTTAAGCTTTGATCAATGGTAATGACTATTCTTGTGACGATCGCACAGGTTGCCGTCAGTTTCCGTGACCAGGCCAGATTTTTCATAAATTCCCAGACTTCTCCAGAAAGGTACAATTCCCAAACAGGTTTTCCAGGTTGCTAGACACCCTGCAGCACCACAACTTAGAAGTGGCCACAGTCCAGTATAACTGTCGCAAAATAAGCGGTAGATAATTGGTACGAGATAAAAGCAATCGGTTCATTTTAACATTTCACCACACTGAATTCCACCCCCCCAGCCTGCATCTCTAGCTGAAAAATAAAAAACAAGTATGCTTATCATGCCAGTTGTTGCATCAACATCCCAGCTGATAATGCTGCACACTGGGATAACGCAGATTTTTTTCAGTAGTGGAACAGTAAGAGTTCATCATTCTCATTCTCTGAGTGCCATTTCGGAGCAGGGTTGGAGGAATTACTATCGAAAATTGCTGTTTGGAGCAGCATTTCTCTTATGTGAGCAATTGAAGCAGCACTTCCATCACTGCAGTCTCTACGCATTGAGAGAAAAAAGGGTTAACGTGCCATTCCCACCATTGTCTGCAGTGATGGCGCACGTGCACCCGAGGCTAAATTCGGGCGCTGCAACACAGTACAGCGCACAGTGGCACAGCTGTTCCACCCTCTGACGTTAACATGTTTTCAAGTCGATACCATCAGAATGCCCAAGTGCCACAACAGCACACATCCTAAAATGCATCGAAGCAAAAATATATTTTTGATGGGAGATACTTTATTACACATTTGGAAAAAAATCTTACAAAGAAAGTAACACATTTCATGGTTCAACCAATGACGTCTTTACAAAAGATAAATCAACACCTTGCCCATAAAGAGCCTTTAGTAATCAACTAAAAATAAAATGCACAATTGCATATATACTCAAACACTTAGTGAGAAAAATACTGGAACACTGTACGGCTGCTTCAAGTGCGATTACTTCGGTGCGGTAACTCGAAGTGAAATGGGCCGAAGACGAGTACAAGTGGGAATATGCATCACCTCCTCCCTTTGTTCGCAATAGCTGCTACCGCATTCGAGAGAGAAAAGTAGAACAGGTGGGCGGCTAGAGTTTTCATTCAAAGCACAAGTACCACCTCCACACGATCTCTCTTTTAAGTTCCAATACAAAAACACCCAACACATGGGCCCCTCAATGCCTGTGCTGATGGCAAGATCCAACTTTGTGAGAATTAAAAGATAGAATTCTCACATTGTGCTACAATAAGCTTCCACTTCATCACCCTCTCAAAACAGGTGGCAAAGATTGGTAGCAGACGACACAATGGTAAAAGCTTGGCAAGCTTCATTATATGGGGTGGCATGCATGAGAAATCCACGATGAAGACAAAGACGAGAGCACAGAAAGGAGGAGAAAGAAAATCAAAAATAAAGGCAGCCTGCCGAGCGAGAAGCATGGTTTCGTTGCTCGCAGCGAGAGAAAAAAAAAAAGAGGAGAGAAATGCAAAGGGCCCGACATCGAGCTCAGTCGTCTGGGCTGTTCCGCTTGGAAGGCGGCGACTTGGAGGCCGAGTGGCGCCGCTGCGGTGGCGATCCACTCCGGCTCCTGGAGCGGGAGCGGTTGCGCGGGCTGTCGGAGCGGCTCTTCCTGCGTGGCGGGGACTTGGACGCTGACCGGGAGCGAGAGCGGGACCTGGAGCGGGAGCGCGAACGTGAGTCCGAGGTCGAGCGGCGGGACCTGGAACGAGATCGGGAGCGGGACCTTGAGCGGGACCTGCAAAATGAGAAGTTATGCATGAGCATTGGGGTTTTTGTCGCCAAAATGTACACGGCATTCCCGCTGCAGGACAACTATGATCCCAAATTACAAAGAAACGAGCCCAGAAAACGAACACAAGCAAGCACGCATGATCACCCCAAAGCCAATCCACATGTTTTACTTGATGAAGGCAGAGGAACTATGCAGCAGCTAAGACATTCCAGGGTTAGAAACCGACTGCTGCATTTTTGATGACTCCAGTTGCCAGCAAAGCATGTTCAAATGCTCTCGAGTCAGAAGACAGTTTCATAAGCACAACAAGTTATTCCGACCCCCTCATCTAAAACATTACAATGGCTGCTGACTGCACAGAGGACACTAAAAACCTGAAAAGGGTGTGTACATGCTGCATCATTTTTGCTACTACAGGTCTACCCACAAGCTTTTCTTTGCTTTATTGTCACACACTGAGTCGTAACATGCCACTGCAAAGAAACAGCCTTGCAGAGCAACCTCAGTAGGAATGCAAGGACTGCAGTATTCAAGAAAAGAAATGCAGGCGAGCCAGATTACGATTTCCGCTCGCAGCGGGAAAAACGGCCCAAATAGTGAGTTTTTTTTTTTGTTAAAAGCACATATACACCCCGGCTTCTACACACAGACTAGCTAATGCACAAACATACTGCAGCAGGCAAGACAGGCCGACCGCCAAACGTTTACCTGTTTGACGCGCGGCTCTTCTTAGATTCGTACAACTTGATCCGGCGACCACTCAGGTCAGTGTTGTCCAGCTTGGAAAGGGCATTCCGCATGTCCGCATAGTTGGAGAACTCGACAAGCCTGTGCAGAATACAGGACAAGGAATCACTATCTGGTTGTCCAAAGGGCAGAACAGTACAAGAAGCCGGGAAAAAAAAATGCCATTCATATTTTGACCACTTGGAGCATAGAGTAGCCATATCTGTTTTTTGTTAGAAGATTGTGAACTTCTGAAACTGAAAACATTGAGAGGACTCGCACTGCCCCAAGTAATTTGTCTGAAGTGTTTCCACAATGGCCAGCATGCTTGTATAACTTTACAGTTTTAACATACGCTTCCTAGGTGTACGTCCAAGATCAATTTATGGCTTATGTGGAGATCAATTATGTGGGCTTTAACGTCCCAAAACCACCATATGATTATGAGAGGCGCTATAGTGGAGGGCTCCGGAAATTTCGACCACCTGGGTTTCTTTAACGTGCACCCAAATCTGAGCACACGGGCCTGCATTACCGCCTCAATCGGAAATGCAGCCGCCGCAGTCGGGATTCGATCCCGCGACCTGTGGGTCAGCACTGCACCTAATTCAAGTACACAAGCATATCTGCTTTTAGTCTTCATTGAATCGCACCCTGCGTGGACACAAATCAACTCCCTCACCCCCCCCCCTCCTCATTAAATTTAGTGCTTAAAGCTAGCAGGTTAATTCCAAATACCCACCCCTACGAAGCTACCAGTTATGCAAGCAAGAACAGCTAACCTCAAAGGTGAGAATTTTGTTGAATGCACACCCTAGGAGCGATATTAGAGCCAAAAAATTTGGCCGCACATTCGCATGCTTTCCTGCAAAGCTTGCCGTCAGGACAAAAAAAAAATAAAACATTTGTGTAACGTTCCGTACGAGCGCATCGGCGAGTGCTGCTCGAAATATGGCGCCATCTGGCAGTAATGTGAAGAAACTAGTTATTTTTTAGAATGGAGAATTACAGGTAGGTGGCAGCACAGTGTCAGACGTGTAGGAAACGCTTGCTTTTTCGTTCATAACGTCGCATTGTCAGCGCAACATAATAAACACAGTGGTCTTCAGAATTACCAATCTTTCCTTAACAAGGAAACATTACCTAAAACTTCCGCACAGTCGAGCCCCTTTATAAAAGACATGCTTCGGGCAGCAATTCTGGTCTTTTATATGAGGGTCTCTTATAAGGGTACCACATATGCCTTTTTTTTTTATGAACTCATATTTTACTGTAGGCACACTGACGTCTCTTATACCCTTTTGTCTCTAATATCAGTGCCTCTTATAAAGGGGTTCAACTGTTTCAACGTTGCTCCTCAAATACGCTAATATTTTCTGTTTGATTAACAATGTTCACAAGTACGGGCGTAGATACCAGATCATTGAATACTGGGTTAAACTTTTTTTGCCGGGTGGCTGAATCGTTAGAGAGACAACAGCAGACGGACAGACAGATCGAAGTTCCTACGTTGAAGTATTTTAAGGTGGATCATTCTTTAAAAATACACCAGGAGGGGCAATGTTACGGACGCCACAGTTTATGACTGGAACGTACCCTTCGTTCGGCCGGTTGCTGTGCGCATCAGTGAAGGTCACCTCGCCCGCTTGGCGCATGTAGTCTTTCAAGTCCTACGAAATCGGGAGGAACGTCCACCATGGAAGGAAAGGGCAGAGGGTAAGGAGGACAGGAAAGGGAGAGCAAAGAATGCACATATGGAGTCAAAAATGGGACATAAACATTTTCTGTTTTCGGGACACATTTTTCAGTAAGCTTAGGTTTAAAAAAGAAAATGCTAGGTGCCATTATTATTTCACTGCAATAATCAGTACTAGTCGACCAAGAAGCTCTGCTAGCATCACATTACGAAGATTGCAGCTGCCTCGCGCAGTTCCCTATCCACAAGGCTTTATCCATAACTAGTCTTGGAAACGAGGAACCTTGCGTGTAAATCTAGCCGCAATTACATTTACACTGGGATCTGCATCTCAACCGCTCTTGTTGAAACTTCGTACGTTCACAAGCGATTACAGGCACCTGCCGTGGCAATCCCATTAATTGGCACCCGATCAATGCAATTCACAGGCGCAGTTTCTTTTCTCCGGCACAAAGTGGAACACCAGCAAAAGTATGTGATCAATCGCAAAAAAAGCCGCACCACCTTTCTCACAAAGGAAGCTATTCACAGTATGCATATGCCGGTATCCTTCCTACACTTTTTAAGCATTTCTATGAAGCGCATGTGCATAAACTAAGGTGCATAAACAAAACAGACTATCTTTAGCAAGCGTATCACTGAACGTGTGCCCGTCAATCTTTCGAAAGCACACACAACCTAGAACTATCACACCCGGAGGATTCCCATTCTAGAAGTTCGTTCTATGAAAACTAACGCATACTGAATAAATACCAGGGTGCAAGAAAAAAAATCTTAAGGCAAGCAGAGTGATGAAGGTGTATAGAGGTAGTTCTTTCATTCTCTCGGGGTCTGTTTTAGAGGCCATAAAGCCTTTTGCATTTAACATTAAAGAGGAATCTCTCAAACAGTGTGAAACAAGGGCTGCATTGCACAAGCTTTTGCCACCTAGCACATTCCACTTGAAATGTGATTGAACATTACACTCCCCAGAACTCGACAGCAAACTGAAATTAAGCTTTACCTTTGATTCACGGACTGTCACCTCAACACAATAAAAATGCCATCCATGTGACAATAGGGAAGACAATCGCCACAAGCACCTCATAAAAGGTAAGCTCTAATGCGTGGATGGCCCATGTGGACTGATGTCCGAAAGCGTGCATTGCCCTTAAGCTACGACCTGCACCCTGGATTCACGCCATAAGTGGTACAAACGAGCTTGTTCCTGTATAATACAAGGCAATAACTACTCAATAGTTTCACTAATTAAATCACCCCAAGTCTGTCTAATCCCTGTATTCAAACATGTGCCTTGACTTGAAGACTAGTCGTGAATGGTTTGCACGACTAACGCTCGAGGTGAATGCACCCAAGGACATGTCACGAGCACCTTGCAATTGTTCACATCGGGCATTACGAGAGCTTTAACTAGTCAAGTCAAAGCCAGATGCTAAGGCCGATTTCTGAATACTGAGGCAAATAAGCAAACACCTAGTAACCACTACCACATTTTGCTCTAGACACGCGATTAGGTCGCTAAAACTTTTCACGCAATACCTGTAGTCGTATACCTGCCATTTCCCGAAGCTACCCCAGCAAAAGCCGTTGTACAGTGCAGCCCACGCACAAAGAGAGGGACCGCCGGCCCCCACAACCGCCGGCCGCGCTTCCGGCCGGGGTAACGAGGGGCGCGGCGTCCCGGGTGGGAGATTTACCTTTTCCAGGGGGAAGGGGGAAGCCGGGGGTGGTCACTGATCCGCGGACCACCCCCCCACCAACCAGAGACCGAGAGAGCACACCCATTGCGAGAGAGTGACCACCCTTGCGCACAGAGACCACCAAAGACAGAGACCACCACAGCGAGAAGGGTGAGACCACCAGCAGTGACGGCCGCTGCTGCGCTACAGGGCCGGTAGTAGCCAAGCCACAAGCCGCAGCAGCCTTCCTTAGAAGCGAATCCATCCATCCTTCCACAGAGTGATCCGTGACTGCCGGTGTTGCATTTGCTCTCTCCCTGACACCTAGAGTGTTGTGTGGGAAGCCAGCCAATGCGCGGCGCGGGCGATGCCCTCCGGGCGGGGAGGGGGTTCTCTGCCCGAGCTACGGAACTTGCTTGCCAAAGCTGCTCTTACGATCCCTTGGCACACTGTTGTAGCCCACCACTGGGCTTGTGGTGGAAGCCACATCCGTAGCAGTAAGCCAGTGCACTAGACACAACTTCCATCTGTCAGACGGCGACCTTCTTTTGTTGGGGGAAGGGTAGGCAGGTTGAGGGGGGTTGAGGAGAGTGATGCAGCAACAGAAAGAGAGAGAGAAACAAGTTGTCACTCAGGAAGCCAAGGGGGAGCCAGAACACGGCTGAGTGTTGCATATCTAGTCCACGCATTGGCCAAGCAGCCGAAAGGCCCTTTTAATCTAAGTCAGCAACTGAAATACTTCAAATCAGTTTTCATTTTTTTGTAGACTGCAAGTTCGCATCGACAAATTGTTTTTTCTTTGAAGCGCCATGATTCAATGGATTCTGATATACCTGTGTTATATACCGATTTCCTTCATAGCCTCACACTCCCAATTTATTCCTTTTCCAGAACTAACAACACAGTTACATCCCAGTAATGTGTTCAATTCTGTGTATTTTTTGCATTATGTACAATGTGTAGGCTTGCGCTGTGGACTCAGCCAAGCACTTGGGGAAAAACTTTGCCCTCAACAAAGGACACCTCGCTTTAAATGACCTCAGACACTCAGGCCATGTTCTGGCTCACCGCATTATAACAGCAAGCGTTTACATCTATGAGCACTAAGCTCAATGATTGGTGGCCAATTAAGTAAACAAGATGGCCACCCTAATTGCGAGAGACTAATCTTATCTACCTTTGAGCCCATGCAGTTGGAATTGACATCTGCGGCGTTCATTGTGCGGCTGCGCTGCTGTTGCTGCATAAGCTCCACCGCCATTTGTACACAAATTTAGAGGGCCAATACTTCTCATTTAATGACAAAGGTAACTGTAACATATAAGAAGACTGGTGCCTAGACTTTCATATATTAAACACTGAGAACGAATGCACCAACGAAGTGCATTGATGTAAAAAATTGCTTCAGCTTCTTGCTTGAGAGAGCCCAGACTTTTTTTTTCCGAGCTGCAACCACTTACTATGAATAGAAACAAGGCAACAGCTTTGAACTAGAAGCTCCGTTATTAACCCTGGTTTGCTTTATTAATTACGTGTAATGCCAGGAAGCACTACATTTAATGTCGGCAAACTGACAAAGAGACAAGCCAGTGACGTTGTGCCTAGCAACAGCACTCTGTGATTAATGTACGTTAAAAAAAAGAAAAGAAATAAGACTTAAAATGCTTCGTCCGGTCACCCTACTGCAAACTGGCCTCATCACTCGAGCAAACAGCTGCAATACCACACGCGCACAAGTCGCACAGCTGGTAACCTTGACACGAGTTATTTTTTCTGCGCACCATCAAAATCCCATATGCTCTTTCAGACTCTGGCGCAGCAAGTATTTCAGGAATGATACAACCAAAGGTGCAACTTTTGGCTTCTTTCTGGATCGCATTTTCATAGCCTAACTTGCAAATAGCCTTCCTTCATGATCAGTCAGTCATTTTGATACATACTACCTGGTTTCAAAAAAAAAATTCATTGTATGGGCCTAATAGAAAACACCAGCAGAAAGCTTCCTTCTGGTTAATTCTCAAGCGCACGAAACATCAGCTCCTTCTGTCTTGCACCGGAGACTCCTATCGGCCACCATTTGCCATCTTGGTATCATGCGTCCCAACCCTTCATCAAGAAGTTTTGAACTCGTTCCCCGTGAAACTCTCAAACTGAATCTACATTTTTTTTTTTCAATTGGAGCTTCACACACATATGATAGCCTTTGTTTTTTTCTTTCCTTTCACTCCTGCTGCCCCTCCAACTTCCAGCCCTACAAATGGCCTTCTTGAACGTGAACGCAAGAGCTCCTTCCAAAACCAGTTTAAGCCCTGCACACAACGCTTCGCATTAAACCGCGCAACAATTGCCACAGCCGCACACACGCCATCAGATGCAGAGACCTCCAGCAGGCATTCGCCATTTAATAGCTTCCGAGAATCGTTACCCCACCACCCACAGCTCTCAACGAGCTTACAACTTTGCAGCAGATTTTTCTTTTTTTATGCTGCTCTCTGAAATAGCATGCAACAAGAGCTGCCCTTGGACATGCACGCACAACACGCACACAGCTCGGATGGCATGAGAATGAATGAGATACTTCCGAGATGCCGGATTGGCTGCTGTCGGCTATTTACCTGCCAGCTGACGTGGCTGCTCAGGTTCTCGACGACCAGCTGGTAGTTGGTCCTCACCGGAGGGCCAAACCTACTGCAGGTCCAAACAGGGAAAGAAAGAGAAGGAAAAAGAAAAATAGAAGAAATAAAGCGATAGGCCCACAGGCAACACTGAAATGTGTAAGAATCGTGTTACAGACTAAACCCTTTTACAAGAGGCATGCTCCAGGCAGCAATTCTTGTCTTTTATACGAGATCTCTTGTAAACAGGGTACCATGTATGTATGTGTTTTATCAACCCGTATTTCACTGTAGCCGCAGTGGTGTCTCTTATAACCATTTGTCTCTTATATCAGTGCCTCTTATGAAGGAATTCAATTCTGTTCGCCTTAGCTCTAGAACAAGGGTTCTCAACTTGGGTTCCCCAGAAACCAGGGGTTCTATGGGTGACATCTTAAGGTTTTGCGAGTGGCCATGAGTGAAACCGATGCACAAGTTGCCCCTATTAGCAACAAATTTATTTAAAGAAGCGAATTAGGGGTTAAGAGTTTCGTGGCTCTATACAAAAGCCATTAGGGTTCCTTAAGGGGAGGACACGAGTCTTAAAAGGCCGAAAACTGAAAAAAAATCTGACTTTTTGAAGTTGACATTTTCAGAATCGGCAATTATTTGAGAGAAGTTTCTAGCTTCTCGCATTATTATTTCTGGCACAAAATCATTTATAACACCCCAGTGAGATGAAACTGAGCACAAATAGACGCTGAAGTCGCACTTTTTCCACACCGAACCGCTGCCGTTACACGCGAGCTATCGTGGTCATCTTGGTCTTGTTTGGAAGGGTCGTGGTTCATCTTCGATTTCCCGCCACCAGTGGCTCGCCTTGCTCATTGATGTTTCAGCAAAAACGCGTCATGGAGAAACACCAGCGCACATTTCTATTGGCTGCTTGGAGCACGTGACAAAACCTAGGCACCGGATTGGCCAAGTGGCGTTTCCGACGTCTGCTTCTTCATCATGACGCGCACAGGACATGCCCATTTTGTCATGGTTCTGTCGACTGCCAAGGCGCAAGGTTTCCTGCCACTGCCAGCAAGTTTTCCTGGCCAATTGGGAAGCGCCAGTTTTGGTCACGTGCGTGAAACAACCAATGAAATCACGCGCTGCACGTGGTTTTGTCTTCACTTTTTTTGCTTCCACGAAGGCAACATAGTTGTCTACTTGAAAAGAAAAAAAAAAGTTAGAAACGCGACCTTTCGAACAAGACCAAAATGGCGCTGGTGGAGCACGTAGTTCCCGTGCTGTCGGCGGGTGAAGTACGGATAGTTCAGACTTCCAATTTGAAGGTCCGCTCGCGCGCAGTTGCTCTTTTTATTGGCCACAATTTGAGAAATAAGTGGGAAATATTTTCAAGCCAAAATTTGCTGAGAGGTGCGGAAGGGCATGGGGAACTCGAAAACGATGAGATAAAAAAAAAAGCGATTTCTGGGCCGATTTTCGAAGTTCAGTTGGAGAAACCCTGTCTCCAGATAGCGTTATGAAAAAGCGACCAGAGGCACAGTAAAAGAGAAAAATTTTCATGTACCTAGGTTCCAAGACCATAGTAATCAACTGCTTTCATAAAATTTTGTACCCTACACTTCATAGCGCTGTGTGCATGTCAAACTAAACTATTTTGAACTTGTTCACATCAGCCCCTGTCAAAGGTCCACAAGCCTCCTCAGGATGAAAGTTATGCTCTTTTCCTTTTGCCTTATATTTTTGCGCACGGTGCTATGCCGCAAAGCACGGCAGTCGCATGCGTTTCTCTCAGGCAATGCCTGGTGTCACATTAATCTTTTTTTTTCATGCGGTTATCTCAATAAATCCATTCACTGCCTTGTCTTTAAAGCCAAGACTTCCGCGTAGGAGCCAGAATGAGTTCATGGTTACCGCGAGGTTCGTTACATAAAAAAAAAATCTTATAGCTGCATTTCAGCCCCTTTAAAACCACCGTAGCCAGGAACTAAGAACGAGTTCGTGCATTCAGCAGCATAATGCCACGACTGCCTAGCCGAAAGCACGTGTAAACGAAAAGCCGGGCGATGTTCCCTTGTTTACATTTCATTGCAGGGCAGGCTGAAATTGTGAACTCAAAGGAGGGGAGGGGGGGTTTGCTTGCTGAGCTCCAGCCAATCAGCGGAGGCCAAAGCAGACCATCCGCAAGGTGAAGACATCGAGAATAGCGCCCCAGTTCTGCAATAAGCACCCTCACGTGGCATGCCCCATGGGTGCGCAACTACATCAGCCTTAAACAGAAGCGCCAGAATCTCTGCTGACCTGTCCCTGGAGCCACTCTGGTAGCGGCCCCCTCCTCCACCTCCTGGCGGCGACCTCCAGTCCCGTGAACCCGGTGCAAGGATCCTGCCCCCCGGTCCACGCCGACTTCCGTGTGCCAGCTCCACGGAAACCCTGCGCCAAGGAACAAGGGCATCACACAAAAAAAAAAAAAAAACAGCATCAAACTCACTTCCTCTTCAAACAATCATTGTAATAGTAACATGCGGGGGTTTCACGTCCCAAAACCAAGATACGAATACGAGAGACGCCGTGGTGGAGGGCTCCGGAAATTTGTACTATCTGGTAGTCCTCAACGTGCACCGACATCGAACAGTACACAAGCCTCTACCATTTTGCCTCCACCGAAATGGGACCGCCGTTTCGCGTCGGCAGACAATCACCTTAGCCACTGGTCCATAGCGGCGGACCTTTTTCGAACAAGTACACATTATTACACGATGCTACTAATCAAGAAAAAAAAGGGAATTTTATGGGCTCGCCTTCCTATGCTAGAGACATAAACGAGAAGACAATATTGCCAAGGTAAGTATGAGGGATGTTACTTAAAGTAACTGAGATCAACGTGATCAATTAAAGAGCATAAAATGATAACTTGTCAGCAAAGACTGAAGCTGCAATGTTAAGGTTGCAGCCTTGGACTCTGTCGACGAGACGTTTCCACTTTCATCCATTTTATTTCCGACTTATATCATAATATCCGGCGCTACCACTACTCTGAATTGTTTATGATAATCGTTATGTAAAGGAGATCCAGATAGTGCCAGACTATGAGATGTCCTACTGCATGCTTAATACCAGTAGTATTGCTCAAATTTTGTGAACCGACCGCCAAGCTCGGCTTGACGGTCCCTACGCAGGATTTGTCGGGTGGCGCAGCTGTGTCTTCTCAGGACCAAAACAAAGTTTTAATCAATCAATAAGCAGCACTATCTATGTCATAGCGTTTTTGTTGACATCCCAATTCTTTATTCAGACTATGATGCAACAGGACGTCGCAGTATCAGCTTGGTCGTGGTGAAGTACGATCAGGCTAGCCTGCCCACTTTTTCTTTAAATGCTGAACCATTTGAAAGACCCTGCCGACCCCTCAACGCACCTTTCGCCAAGCAGCTCCTTGCCGTTGAGATCCTTGATGGCATCATCAGCATCTCTGTGATCCTCGAACTCCTGAAATAAAACAGGGGCCGCCGGCAACCAACACATCCGTGAGCCGGGCTATAGCAAGGGTCTCGGCCTCAAAACAGTTTTAATGACACGTTCACCAATCGTAAACTGGCGATGTCATCTCGGCACAGCCCCCTACAACCTTAACGCACAAAGCATGCATTTTTGGCATTGAAAACGAAACAGTCAATAAACTACAGCCTCTTTTTGATAAAGTTCTTTGCCGAGACCTGTTGCGCGGTTCGTGTAAGATTCTGTTGACTATCGGAAACAGCAAGTAATGGCTATAATAGAATATCAATCCTAGAACTTTGTTAAGCCCTCTGTACAGTAATGAACCCAATCGTGATGTGAACGTTCTTCGAACTGGCAGCTACGCGGCGATACTGCCATTTCCTCCTGCAATCCTCGCAAATTCGTTTGATGTCAGCGCTGCAATATGGCGCCACCGGCGCCCTCAAACGACCAGTCTCCGATTTTCAACGTGACGCAATAATAGGGAGTTTCAGGATAACGTTTGCAGGGGCTGCGGGCATAGCGGGCGCCATATGAGTCTTAGGTATAGCGTTTGCTCCTCATAGACAAAATTCCAAGGACTTTAACCCCGACCGCAGTCCCATATGCATGGAGGCTACTCACATCACTTTGCGGCCCTCGCGGGCCGCGATCGCCGCTCGCTATTTCGGATTTTCTGCGTGCGGGCCGCGAACGCGGCCGGCGACTCGTGTTATGACGCGTGCGCAGTGGCAGCGACCGCACTGCAAGGGTGCGCGGTGCGCTATTCTAAAACTCCCTAATAGAGAGTTTTAGAATACCGTTTGCAAGCGCGGCGCCCGCCACACGAGATTTAGAATAGTGTTTGCCCTGCTGCAAACTGCGACGCACGATTGCAGCGACACCGAAGCCTCGAAGCCAGCGTTTGCGGGCCGCGATCGCGGCGAGATATTCTAACCCCCCATTCAGAAACGCTCCTCGACTCGACCTTCACTTGACAGAGTGGAGCACTGCGCCACCTCCCGGCTGAAAATGACGCTGCGCTACTCAAGAATCGCAGCAGATTATCGCCGATATGCAGTGACTTGCCGTGCCTAGAGACGGCGCTCCCATCGGCTTTCTCAAGTGGAGGTGAAGCGTTGAGTGAGGGGACGTTCTAGAATACGGGGGTAAGACTCCCCAAAGACTGTACTCCCTCGCTCAACGTGACCGCGGAGAAAAAAACGTGCAACGACGCCGGCACTCACCACAAATCCGAAGCCGTTCTTGAGGTGTATGTCACCGACGCGCCCGTAGCCCTTGAAGAAGCGGTCCACGTCTTTCTCGCGCACCTGGTAGCTGAGGTGTCCGATGAACACCCGGGTCGTCATGGCCGCCTCGTTTCTTCTCTGGGACATCGGGAAAAACAGAGACGCGCGCCCCCTAATTATCGAAAAACTCGATCGGCGACGACTCGGAGAGAGACGTTAGCAGTTCAGAGGCGCCGCAGCAAACCTACAAAATCTGGCCTCTCGACGTCAGCGCCCTCGAGCAAGTCTACGTGCGGCGCAAACAGGAAAACAAGTCGGCCCGATAACAGCTGCTACATTCCGACTCTCGCTGACTGTACTCTTTTTTTTTTTTTTTTTTCCCCTATGGAGGCGTAGGTGGGCCTTGCGATTAGAAAAGCGGCTAGCGGCCATTTTTTTTTTTCTTTTTTTCCCGTTCTGCCGGTATTTTTCCAGCGCGCTATTTTTCGCCAGCTGCTAGGTTCCCGCTTTCTTTTTTTTTAAGTATCGCAAGCTATTCGCGTCGCCAGAGCCAAGTAAACGAGAAAAAGAAAAAAAAAGATACCCCCCCCCCCCCCACACTTAACTTCCTCAGCTATGTTTATATAGTAAACGTATTAACAGCCATGCCTGCCTTTCGAGGAAACGATAATCAGCGCTTTCGGAGCTGCGAGTGATGTTCGGACAAAATTTCGGTGATAGCGATTAAGTACTACAGCACCGTTAAAGGCTAGTATTTGCGTTTGCGTCACATATGCCAAGGCACGAACGGAACAGAGGGGGGGGAAGGGACAGAGGAAAATTACGATAGAAACGTTCTAAATCGTGCAAAATTACGGGCTCTACTCGACTTAAATCACTCGTTTGCTAGGGAAACCAGCCCACCCCGACGTGGATGCAATGCGGCGCCGACAAATAAGGAAGCCGCGAAGTTGATCAACAAGCAGGCAAAAACACACAAGAAGGCGGCCCCGCTAAGCCTTCTCGAAATATGCGCGTCATCGATTTAGCCGCTCTAATCGCTATTCTTTAACGCAGCCGCTGGCGTTGACCTCGGTAGGAGAACGGTTAGTTGGGAGGCAGTGCGGTACTCACGAAGCGAAAATAATTAGCGCCGCAGATTGCTAACCATAGGCCTTGCTACCACCGCCGTCTTCTCTGAATCCTTCTAGAACACAAACAGCTCTGTGACGTCACGAGCGTCTGGCCTACGTCATGGGTGTCACCTGACAAAAAGAAAACGGCAGGAGAAAAAAAAAAAAAAAGCTGCAAGATGCTCGGTAAACAACTGCAGCAAATTTCGAGAAGTGCGAGTCGTGTAGAGTGCAGCTGTGGTATTTTTTTTATGACCTGGGAACTGCTTTTGTACGAAAACACGCAAGCAGTTGATTAAAAATCTCGAAGGCCGTAGCTTACAGCCACTGTAGTCTCGGAAGCCTCGGTAAATCGAGCAGCCATGCTTACTTCGAAGAACCTTTTTATTTTAATTCTGCTTGTTTCTATACAAATGGTTGAGCAATATCCGTCTTTAAAAACAGGAACCCACAACCTACAGAAAACATAGAGAGTGGTAGCACTATTAGTAGCACCACAGAACATCTGGCAGCACTGACTACAATTGCAGGCTTTTGATAATGGATGGCGGCAGCTGTTAAGGGCCTGTCTTGTTCCCCAAAAGTGTACCAAAAGCCTGACCGCACGTGCGCATTGCAGCGAGTCAGCGCGTTGTTTCCTAACGACCACACCATAGCCTCTTAGATTTCTCTTGCCTGCAAGATGTGAGCGCGAAACGCTCGTCATTTATGGCGGCGCTACCTACGTAGGGGTAAGGGTCATTGTACTCGGCCTTAGAGATTGGCTATTTTGGCGTTTGCTGCGCCGTGTCGCCTGTAGGCAGACAGAAATTAAGTGCCTTCTTTCTTTTCCTCATGAACCACTAACAACAACAATTTTAGAGGCTACGCCTTGTTTTGAAGGGGTTGCCTGCTGAATGAGCGCACAACGCCTGTCATCTATAACGGTGGCACTTACGTAGGGTAATTATAATTACGTTTACGCCTTTTAAAAACTTTTTACGTTATTTTTGTTGCATATAAGCTCCAAAAACGTAAAAACTTATTTGAAGACACCCCTATTTAAGTGGCGTCATCACTATAGTTCCGACGACGGCCGCTTCTCAAGTGACCGCTGATAACCCGGCAGGCACGGGAATCTAGGAGGCGTTGGTTCTATGTAAGCTCCGTGTATGTAAGACTGTTTGGTCGTACTCACGCTCAACCATCGATGATACACGCCGAACATCTCAATAATGTCCATATCATGAAGGAAGCTTCCTCCACGGTACATGTATGATGACACCATATTAGAAGACCTCAGACTGATTTCGTTCCAATAACCAACCAAAGGTGACATCAACGACGAAAGCCGTTATAAGATCACAAAGGCAATGGGGTGGCTGTCCGCCGATGCCCGTAACCCCTATCGCGGGAATTTAGAACAAAAAAAAAAACACTGAAACTAACAAAAATATTTTTTGGAACGTTATCCGCAACCAGTGTCACACGGTCACTTTTAATCGCGATCAGGCTCGATTGGGATCAAGACTATCGCGGTCTGGATGAATGCATCCCCTGGCCAAGCTTGACTGTCTCCATGGCGCAATTGGCTGGTCAAGCTTGTTGAAAGTAAAATAAACAATAAAATCAAGCACAGTTCCGTAAAAGTAGATTTAAGAAGCAAGATATTTATTTTAAAAATAACTTTAATTCTGTTTTGAATAAATATAGCTGTAATTTTGCATATTTAAGCATTTGTATTGACAGTATGTAGTTATGGGAGAAGCAAATGATAAGCGGACGACAAGTTCAACTCTCGCGCCATCGGAACAGATGGAGCAACCTCGACGCTAATTGATCACGAGTGTCACCAGCTTTTCGACTACGTCACTGCGTACGCACTCTTCGTGGTCGAACGAAGATACCAATTAATTGACCGCTGGCAGGAGCAACTGGGAGACTTAAGGCGCCACAAAGGAAACTCTGTCGCGTACAACGAGATTGCCGTTTCGCTGCGACTGGACGGCTACAAGCAGGTGCCATCAGTGAAGATTAAGATTCTTGCACAGAAATACAGGCAAGTGCAAAGAAAACTCTACCGAACGATGGATTTATGAAATTACTTTTGTCGTGGCACCCAATTGTTTTCGACGCTCGAGCGGTTCTCGCACGGTCAAAATATTGCTGACAAATGGCTCTATTGAAATTCCGTACGCCGAGTTTTGTCAACGACATGTTATGCGGCCCGCAAGTACCACCTGGTGTATTTCATCTGACCCAAGCTCGGACGAGCTTGGGTCAGATGCCCAAGCTTGTACACGGCCCAAGCTCGGACTGGATATGCTTGAGCCGTGTAACAGCGGCCATAAATTTCATCACGATCAAAAAAAGTCGATCCGGGATCACCCTGATTGCGATTAAATATACCCGTGTGACACCGGTATTACTATCGTCAACAAATATTACCTCCTCTGCAGCAGGTAAGATTTCGTGCGATTGACCTCGCATTGCAAGATGACCGAAGCGATGACGTCAACCTTAGCGTCAGTTACCGCAGGTGTAGCGTGGAAATATTTGCCTCCAACCACCGGGCACGTGCTATCAGCGTCAAAGGAAGCCGTACAGCGGCAAGCCTTTGTGAGGGTGTAGCGTGTGCCTTCCACTTATCACCATGCGCAGAGCTGCGAACAGGACGTGAGCGCCTGTCAAATCGTGATGAGTAGATGGTGCGCACCATACAATTGCGAAGGCTTGTCGCTGTTCGGGTCTCATTTGACGCTGATAGTACGTCTAGCCATTGGTAAGCGACCACTATGTGATATAAGCCATGGCGACAGTGGTGATGTTATCTCGAAAGTTGTTACGAGATTAAAAGAGCGATTTTGGCCCACACCACAAAGCGCACATATAATGCCTTGATTCGATTTGTGAGGTTTAACGTTCCAAAACCACTATATGATTATGAGAGACGCTGTAGTGGAGGGCTCCGGCAATTTCGACCACCTGGGGTGCTTAGACGTGCACCCAAATCAGAGCACACGGGCCTACGACATTTCCGCCTCCATCGGAAATGCAGCCGGGATTTGATCCCGCGACCTGCGGGTCAGCAGCCGAGTACCTTAGCCACTAGACCACCGTGGCGGGGCCACATATACTGCCTTACGTATGTGGAGCGGGTACCACACCGCTCCACAGAATGGTACAGTACACGTTTCTCTACTTGAGATAAGTCACGATTAATTGAGTGATCGGTCCTTTGGATGTGTACGTGCACTAGCTGTTCGAAGTGTGTTGAAAAAAAAAAAAAGGCCTGTTCTTTAAGATTTCACCGACTGTTGCGTGTTCCACACATGGCTGGCGGTGCATACACCCTTGCCCAAATAGGAAAGCTGCGTAATGCTGTGGTAATGCCCGTACGCAAGCGCATGATGATGATGTGAATGAATTATCTTATTTTCGTATTCGGCATGGTTGTGGTCCGGGCTAGACCGGACAAGAAGGTACCAGGAGACCTTGTCTCTGTATAGCCTCCCTGGCCTATACATACCCACAATTTTTTTTCGGGAGGAGGGGGGGGGGGCACTGCCTTGTTTCGGGAGGCGCACCCCTTTAAAATGACCATTTTTCACTTTCTATGCCATGGCAAAAAAAAAAAATGCAGGGGAAGGGGGAGGCACGTGCCCAGTGTGCCACCCCCTGGCTGCACTCCGGCACGTACACGCTATCCCAGCTGTCCGAAATTGCCCCACAATGCTCTGCTACCTAACAATTAAGATACAAGAAAATGAAAATGCAGATTGGGGCACACGGTTACGCATCCATTTACAGCGAAAAATGTTACGTTATCACGAGGGTCGCTTGCGCCGTGGTTGTCCATAGCCACTATCGCGCAAAATTAGTAGCCGTAGTAAACAACTTTATTAGGGCAGCTGACGGTTCACTAAGTGGCGAGGGCTGTCAGGCCATGCCTCGTCGCCACCTCGTTTGATGGCCCGGAGCTGGGCTTGTGGTCGTGAGGATGTTCTCCCAGGCCTCACTTGAAGGCGACTGTCCAAGGAGGTCTGGTGGGGGAGGGTCCTTGCTGCATAAGCAGCAGATGATGAAAAACAAGGAAACACAGAATTTGTTCCGAACTGGCCTTAGGCAGTTTGCAACACAACTGCGTAACGGGTGGGTTATAGAACGCTCCAACCCATTGAAAAAGCCTAAGGCCTAATTCATCGTCGTCAGCCGCAGCTTTAAAGAAAGAATGCACAAGTCTTCGGAAGGGTGTAGCAGGTACCACGATTCCCGGAGGGAGGATAAAAGATCGCATAGTGTCATGAGAGTGAATGCATTCGTACTACACAAAAAATACAATGAATAGTGTAATTGGTACCCTGAAAGTGTGCTTGTGGAAGTTACCCAAAGAGAGCTAAAGGGACACTCAGAGCAAAACAACTTTTCGCGTATTAGTATAGCACAACTTCCCAATCCTGAAAACACTCTTGCTGCGACACGACGCCTGGTAAGCGAGAAAAAGCGCTAAAATAAAAAGCGTGGTAACGCCACCTTGACATTCCCGCCCCAAACACAGTGACGTAAGAAATTTGGAAGGCGTGTACTGGATCGTACGGAGCTCCCAATCGATAAAAATGAAGCAAGTCAAGCGTTGTCTTTCTTGTAAGGAGGAGGAAACAATCAGTCATTACTTTCTATCCTGTCCTATGCCCTGGCCAGGCAGAGGAGAACGAGAACTCGTGACCCGCAAGCGCGGGAACTTAAGTATCCTCTGTCGGGTCAGGTTCAGCCCTCGAGTTCTTGGCCCAGTGTTTCTAGGACTGCATAGAATAGAGCATTAGAAGGAGGAGGAGGAGGAAAAACCTTTATTGATGCTGGCTGTGCCAGATAGCCCTTATCCCCACCGGGCTGGTTGACATCCCTAGTCCGGGACGTCATTAGTCGAGGCCGCCACCCGAGCCCGCTGGACTAGAGTTCGCTGTTCCTCTAGTGTGGAGCTATTGAGTAGGGTCGTCTCCCAGTCCTCTTTGGTGGGGTTGGGAAAGGGGTTAATTTTGGGTTCATTTGGCAGGCCCAGACCATATGGTAAGTGCTGGCCACTTCCCCACAGTACTGTCACTGCCCACTTATTTTTGGGTCGTAATATTTGAGTATGGCTGGACAGAGCAGCGTATTTGTCTGTAGGCGCCGCAGGATGCGCTCCTCCGTTTTCGAGAGTCCCTTCGCTGGTGCGGGATACAAGCGGCGTTGCTAAATGTAGTATTCTTTGATTTATCGAAACCGTGTTAAAGGTGTGGGACGTTCAGGTCTATCAGGGGAACGGGTAGTTTCCCGGGAAGTAAGCACGCGGGCCGCTGCATGTGCAGCCTCGTTACCCTGTAGACCCTGATGTCCCGGAGTCCATATAAGACGTTTTGGGGTAGGATCGCGGTTCCCGATGCTGAATTTTAAAAGTCTATTAGCCAATGGAGAGATTTCTCCTGCAAGATAGCTCTCGCAGGCTCTTCGAGAGTCTGTAACTATTTGTTTTGAGTTTGGATGGGATACTGCCAGTGCAATGACCACCTCCTCCGCCTTACTAGAGCATTAGAAGGGTGGGCCGCGCCTTGCGAGGCCGACACCTACCCCACACAAGATCCTGTGAATCATAGAGTTTCCCAATGTACACTAGATGGAACTCTGGCGCCAGTGTCTATGGGCACTGCAATGCACGGCGCTTCAGCGAGCATGGGAATGATGGGTAGTCACCTTTCCTTCCTCCGTGTGGGTAGTACACACATTTGGCTAAACTTCGTACTTCTGGCACCGCTTTTGGCTCCGTGTGTGTTTGTGTGGTTTGAAGCTGTTTTCTCACGAAACAAAAATCAGCAAATGTTCACTGATTGCGCTTCACCACCCTATTTCTTTTTGAATTACCTTTCCAAATTGGGTCACGAAGTTCAAAAGGGTTGAATCTTTCTTTCAAAACAAAATCGAAACACAGCAATAAACGAAGCCGCAAGTACGATTCGCCGCCCCAAGTACGAAGACTAGGCAAATGTGTGTACTACCCATCATTCACATGGTCGCTGAACGATCGCAGCGCCAGAGTGCCCTCTGGTTAATTTTGATAAACTCTGTGCTGTGAATAAAGTCTTCTCTCTCTGAGATTTATAGCACCACCTTTTCGTAACTTGGCCCTGGAAATATCCAAATCAGTTGTGCTATCGTTTGACGCCTCTACTCTGGGCTACATTCACAGGGATGTTTACTATGCCATAGTAAACGATGACCGAGCCAAATTCATTTTAAAGATATATTATGCAGTAATTATTTATTTCGTTACCTATCCCAAGCATATACTAATAGTAATACGAACACACACAAAAATTCACCTAATACTCGGCCCATCTTTACATTGGGCAAGAGCCATGAGAAGGGAGCAGCTGCCTTAAGCAAAGAAGTTTCATGACCGATCCCCCAAAGTGGGCACGTGACAATGATCTAAGGAGCATTATCATCGTCTCAAAATTTCACCGAGCGATGCCATGAATCGTGCAATTCTTACAAAAGATAGTGCAGCAACATTAAAATGAAACTTCAACCTTTTCTTCACAAATAATGAACTAATGATAGTGAAGCATGTATACCTAAACCAAGCCATTGTTCCTCTCGTGTCCCTATAAAATAGGTTTTCAAAAGCCACTCTTCCGGCTTTCATGGTGACTATGCTACACATTTCGCACAGGCCTGGAGGTTTTCGAAGATTCATTTCCTTGCTGCAATGTCAAACCCCAAGAAAATAGAGCGTGCGGAATAGCAATTTATAGTGACATACATGATGGTTTTATTACAGGTCAGTAAATGAAATATACAGGTCACAATGTGGAGTTTACTATATACAGAGTCCAAGACGGGTCTAAGGGAGGTCCCGAGAACATGCGGAGGAATTAAGGACAACGGCAAGAGAGCATGATTAGTCGTGCAAAAGTGAAAAGCAGTGCTGCCCATTGCTTCAACTGCTGTCATCGGAGTTGTCCTTGTTGTTCTTGATCGGGGACTTGGACCGCGACCGAGAGTGGGACCTGGACCGGGAGCGAGAAGCTGAGTGGTGGCGGTTGTTGGTCTCCGGAGACTTGCTGCGGCTGCGAGACTTGCTCTTAGACTTCGATTTTGACTTGGAGCGGGATCGCGAGTGTGACCGACTGGCAGACCTGGAGGCTCGTCGCTTCGGGGCCGGGCTCCGGGAGCGCGATCGTGAGCGAGATGCAGACCGCGATCGGCGCTTGACGGGTGTCCGGGAATGGCTTCGTCTCTTAGCACTCCTGGACCTGCGCAGTAAAAATTATTTTGGCTAATCAGAAAGGCTGCCAGTCGAGACAACAGGGTAACAATAAAAGGACGCACTGTGGATAGAATTGTTTCAGAACGTTGGCACCAGTTTTCCGGCACAGAGAGTTGGACCCGAAAGATAAAGTCATCACAGAAACCACAGTGTTGATGAAGCAAGAATATGCTGCCACCTTGCATAGTTTACAGCAATATAAAATCAGCCTTATAGGACTACCCCCAGATGGTAGGTAATGAAGGCAGATAGTGACCAATAGAATATGTAGCTGGGCTAGTTGGTAACCAAAAGACGAGCATGTGAGCTCTCTTTGTTACCACTTGTCCTTGTGAGGCACTTTCCCAAACATTAGTCATCGATGTCCTGTCCAGAAATTTACACAAAAGCCACAAGTACAAGCCAAGAAAAACTGGCCAACAAACCTTGATCGGCTGCGACCCCGGCGGCTGGCACTCCTGGACCTAGACCTGGAACGAGACCTGCGCTTGACTGGACTGCGGGAACGGCTACGGCGACGGCTCCTTGAACGAGATCTGCTTGGGCTGCGGCGGCGCCTAGAGCGGGAGCGCGACCGAGAACGAGACTTGCTGCGCCTGTAAAAGACTCCAAGCAATTAGTGAAACCATACTGACAGTGGATAAGTCTTCAATCTGGCAGCACTCTCTGCAAGGGCCCGGCAGTTATGTCCTCGATTTCCAAGGAAATATTGGCATTACCTCACTGCTATTGTCTTAAATCTTGTATTGAAGGGGTGCAGTATTGGTGACAAAGTGCAGCACAATATATGCTGCAAGATTGATGACCTGGCACTGTGGTGACACTTGTTGGAATATTACATACCAATCTAATGCCTCTGCAGCTGTGAGAGGATACGCTTCCCAGAGTATAACAACTATCATGCACATACAACGCATACTTGCTAATTAATAAGCTGCTTTCAATCATGAAATGGATCTCGGGCAACGCAACATTCGTGAAATACAGGGTAGCCATAGCAATAAACGAGATAATGTTTTGACACGGCGCAATTGTTGAGGTTGGTTGCCCACCACAGCCATTCATTGCAGCAAGTGCAACCAAATTGAAAATGATAAGACCTACAACCGATGGAGAACGTGCAGATATCCCAGGAGACAATTGAACAAACCTCTTCTCTTCGATGAGGCGGATTCGACGTCCACTGAGGTCAGTGTTGTCCAACTTGTCAAGTGCGTTCTTCATGTCCGAATAAGTGGCGAACTCGACAACTCTGCAAAAATGACAGGGAAGCAATGACGTAAGGCAAATGCCCACCCATGACATGAGCATTAGGTCAACCAGAAACGTGACTTACCCTTCATTGCGGCGAAGGCGATGGGCATCTGCATAGGTCACCTCGCCGGCTTGCCGCATGTAGTCTTTCAGGTCCTTTGTGAAGAAAAAAAAAGACAAGAATGTTACAGAGTTGAGTCACTCGCAAGCTGCCCAGCAAGACACTGCACCTCAAACAACTAATGGAAACTTTCAATGTGCATCAGGCACCAGACCAACATATGTTCAACTGCATATCTGTCACAGGCTCTATCCACAGCGTAGAGGAACAAGGGCAATTCTAGGTTGTAGCAAGTCGGAACCATTGGAAGATAGATAAATTTAGAGCAGGTAGAGTATTAATGTGCACTATATTTTGCACACAGGAATACAGCTGCAGGAAATGCAGAAAGACTGAACCTGCTTGACACTGCAACATCGCTGTCTAAGCTAGCTACAGCAAGAATATCTAAGTGTCGTGCACACACACACAAAAAAAACATACGATTATGAGGAATGCCATTGCCGAGGGCTCCGAAGATTTCAACAATTTCACGCTTTTAAATGTGTACAGACATCTCAGTGCACATGCCTCTAGCACTTCACCTGCATTGAAATGAAACTGTAGCGGCCGTTATTGAAGCCTCGACCTTCGAGTCAGCCGCGGGACAGCTTGGCTACTGCAGCAGATGACCAAAATGGGGAACCAATACAGTGGCAGACCATATTTCGGGACAGCCGCACGGTACCACATAGAGTAATGTGTAATAAGAGGACGGACATTTCAGACAGCTGCGAGATCTGCATTCGGTAATCCGGACAATGTTCAAGGAGTGCACACCAAATCACCAGCCATTATCTCCTCCAGTACCCATAGCATACAACATATGCCCTCAGAAATGAAAAACTAAGCAAACTAGTCATCTACGAGGGTCTACTTTGATTACCTCACAATTTGAGAGGGTCGTATCGACATCGCATGTTCCAGTATCCCTGTGCTGCACTGCTATCGCCACCATTCTGTCCTATGTGTCTGTGGTACTGCATTCTGCTGAATACTGCACACACTTAATTTTGTGTTGACAGCTGCTGTATTTAGCGCTCTGCTGTCCCAAAAAATCTGCGTGAAATGGCACCAACAGTGCCTTCACAGCCTGCACCGCCGAAACGCAGCAGACATAACACTCTCCACAATGAGGAAAGCTGCCATCATTTTGCAAGTGCTCAGCAATCGCCCGCAAGTCGAAGTTGCCGGAGAGTTCAAGAACCTGACACTGCAACTAATGAGCCAGATCTGCCGCCCAGCGTAACGAGCTCAAGTGCAGACGTTATTAACCTGCGAGGCTGCAGTGTGCCGATTTCTGTCGCATATACGTTTGAAGACTGCCCAAACGTCGACCGCGCTGCGTCATCGTGTGCCAAATTGAAGGACAGAATTGAGCAAACTTTGCAATCATCGAACAGCAATTCTGAGTTATGGTTCTGATGGACTTGGTTGCACGTAAGTGTAAGTGCATGCAACAACATAGCAAGAGCTTTTTCGGCCACTGGGTCACCGAAGCTGATGTTTGCCAACGGATTCGTTTTTTCGGAATTGTCAGTCGTAAACTAACGTGGAACTCTGTGCATCAGCCACTGCATGTGATCGTGAAGCCTGCCGTTGATTGGCAGTCTTTTACAGGGTAATCATGTGAATGGAGCCTGCGGCAGATATGGCGACGAAGGTTTGCACACTCAACAAGATTTGCTACGCAATGCAGCCTGTAACAAACAAAACACAGTGATGTGGCCACCAGGTACTCCAAGACCCTGGAAGCTGCAAAAAAAAAAAACCGCCGTGGCCACAGCTGGCACCCAAGTCGAAGTCCACAGCAGGAGGAGGCTGTTCGCGCAGCACAAATTGGAAGGTGATGCGTATTTTTGTTGTTTGCGAAAAGGTGAAGGCGTCGTACGTGATTTACCTGGCTCCACCCCAAGAACCCAGGCCCAGACAACCAAGGCGGGGGGGTGGGGACGCAGCCCAGAACACCAAGCCAAGCCCTTCACACGAGGCAAATGCCACACCAGGCCGGAGGGGGGCTGCAGGCCGTTCCCACAAAAGGGGGGGCTCTCTTCACTCCATCCGTGGCGGAGGGTCCAAAGGCCAGGCCAGGCCGCGCAGTCGCCCAATGACAGAAAAGACGACGCCCCCGCTGGTCGTCATCTACAATAGGCCCCCTCATTTTTTTTTTTAGAGGCAACACTTGCCTATGCCCCCATTTGCATTTAAAAGCCAGTCGAGTACGACGACGAGGAAGGCTGCCACGGTTCCTCCGAGCGGTTGGTCCACCGCAAACACCCTAGGAGGAAGGGGGGTCCACCACGCTTTACCGGTCCTCCACACCAGGATGGGGGGGCGCCCTCATCAAGCCTTCATCTCAAGGGGGGTAAAGGAGGGAAGCCTGCCGCACCGGGGCGCACAAAGGCTTGCTCCCCCTCTGAGTAGTGCGAGAATAGAACACATACATGGCCTGTTATTGGCGTTTCTTCGCCGACAAAAAATTGTAACATTTCGAATTTAGCCTCTACTAAAAGTGTTGTAGAACTTTTGCTTGTTGCAACTGGTTTGCAAGGCAAACTCATTATTGTACTCGGATCCTACTGCTAGCATACTGCAATTACAAAGAGTTGACTGTTTGGCAAGCCTTCACAATTGATTCTATGCTATACCGTATCTATTCGCATAATTTGCATTGCACACCCTTAATATTTTGCCAGCTTTACTCTCATATTTTGGGCTACCCGACCCACCCAAGCCAACTCGCTGACACACACAAGAGGATATTGGAGCTTTGGCACACACCTAGCCAAGCAGGCGAGCACAGGCATACATTAAACAGGCTGCAAGTGCGAAGTGCCTTCTGAGGACCTCCCCAAGATGCGGTCTCTAGAATGCCATACTTTACTCAAACCCGTGAATTGCTCAAGCATGTGCCTCCCTTTCACCGTACAAGTGTATGGTCCTGTCACAGCATGGCCAATTGTTCCCTCGGTTCCGTGCGTCCTACTATATCGGCATTGCAGCGCCTGCTGAGCTTATCTTGGAAATTTACGTTTCGCCATCTGTCAGTCGCATGTTTACATTTCCCATGTGATGCGCTATGAAATTCAAGCTCAGCATTGCCTTTCGGCCAGCGATCTCGACTAAACTGTGCTTGACTAGATTTGAGTCGTTAAAGTATGTGCTAATTCTGTTAAACATGCGCACTTTGTTTGTGCTCCAACTTATTGTTCTTTTTAGATGTACGCTGCACATTGGACTAAACACTATTGCACACATTTTGGGCTGTGATAGTCTGTGTAATTTGCACGCTCTCTTGTCGTAGGTTGAAATTATGTAAGAAAAAAAAAAAAAAAAAACCAACACAAATTATGCGAGTAAGTACGATAACCTTCACCCTTCTGACCAGTCCCTACAAAACCAGCCCAAGGGTTCAATGCTGCACATAGTCTACAAAAGAATGCTTGTGCTTGCCTAGAGCGATCAGTTCAGGCTGATGCATAGAACTCCCCAACTTCAGCACAAACACGCAAGCATATAAAGTGTAAAAGATTGTGGCCAAGAAGCTCTTGAGGGCATCTGTGGCCACTCCGAGTGTCGCTTTAGCGATTTCCCCATTACAATGCACTAACTCTGAAGCTATGGTGGCTTTGATGGCACTATAAAGAGTTCCCACTATCCTAGGTAATATCAGAGCTAAATCTTCACTTAAAGACCTGTGGTATGAACGAGCAAGAAGATAACTCTGGACGGCTAAAACCAAGGATGACATGAAAGAGGCAAAAAATTGATGCTGCAAAAGACATGTCCGCCAGAACGATTTGATGCCCTATGCCATGTACTGTAGACTGTTAGCTATGGAGAGATGTTGGATATCATCCAGTCATAGATGAGCTGTTAGCCTCGAATTTGAACTTACCAATGATAGCAGTAAATAGGTCATTAGTTGCACTTGCCTAAAACTGATTACTATAATGAATAATTCCAGAGACAATCCAAGTCACGACAAAAATGCACCTACAATGGCCATTACCCAAGACTGTGGCCTCCCACTTACCTAATCTAGTCTGAAAAGACATTGCAGGTGTCACACAGGCTGACTACCAACTTATATAGCACTTGAAAACACACACGAGAACAGTTAAACGAACTAGTAGGTTGGCTCACCTGCCAGCTCACACGGCTGCTCAAGTTCTCAACTGTCAGCTGGTACTCTGTTCTCGTAGGAGGACCATAGCTGGAAAAAAGAAATGCAACTCGTGAAGAAAAAAAGATGTGAAAGGATAACATCGCAATATGAGAAGCCACATGCTCCGTAAAGGTTGCCTCATGCCAGTGAAGACTGTACGCAAACACAGAAAAAAAAAAAAAAATCAAACGAGGCACCGTGGAGAGAATTCTTTCAGAACGTTGGCACCAGTTTTCCAGCACAAAGAGTTGGTCCCGAAAGATAAGTCATCACAGAACTCTCTGCCACAGTGTCAACAAGGCAAGACAAGTGCTGCAAGCCAGTGTGGGGTGCTATCACAGTCGGTAAAGTCGTTTTTGCTTTGCGGTGCACATGTGTCTAGCAAATTGACTGCTTTTTAGGTTTAACCATAGGTGGTGCAATGCTCGCACAGATTCACCAGCATGGTTAGGGCAGCAAGGCTACACGGTCACGCTGAAAAGAAGCTGCCTGCGGTGAGTCCATGGGGACGGTGGCTACTGCATTAGTTGCCTCAGCTAGTTGCAAAAGCGCACCAAATTTTGAGATCCCCCCCACACCCCTTACACAATAGTTCCTTTTAAAAACGCAACTGAAGAGCAGCTGCAGTAGTTACCTGCAATTATCATTATTGGTGCAGAGATTTCCTGCCTGCTATGTACACAGTTCAGAGCCAGTTGGGGCATGGTTTTAGAACAGACCGAATGTACTATTGGGAAGCCACTATCTGTGCGATCATGCAATGCTAAGTAAAAATGCGGAACTTGAACAGCAACAGAAGTACCAACCGACGCCTTGGCGGGGATCTGGATGCAGCACGTGAGCGATAGTAGTCTGCTCCACGCCGGATTCCACGAGCCAACTCTACAGAGACCCTGAAAGAAAGAGACAACGCTACAACACCGACTACACCAGGCAAAGAAACCTCAGACACCAGGGAAGCGCTCAAGAGGCAGCGTTAATCAGGGCTCGTCATACCAGAAAGCACACTCAGATAAAGCTTAGGGGCACCGTGCAGTACCTGTACGCTACAGGTGCAATATGGGTACTCTGGAAATGCAAACCCACATTCCGCACCTCCATCACCCCCTTATGACAAGGGACTGCAGTTTGCACTTGTTCCCTATAGGAGATTTGTACTTAGCCTTGATCTGCATGGGGGCAACACCATTGTGAACTCCGTTCGTACTCGCTGTCCGCCTTTTCAGCGTGCAATGGACCAGACGTCCCGTTAGCCATGACCAATTACTGCCCCAAGACTTGCCCAGCAGCACACATGCATGGAAAGTGCTGGACCACTCACCGGTCCCCTAGTAGCTCCTTCCCGTTCAGCTCGTACACAGCGTCATCCGCATCCCTGTGATCGTCAAACTCCTGCATTGGAGTGTAAAAGAAAGAAGTCGAGTGCTGCCACCTTCAAAGGAGGGGACACAAAATGCTGCCGAAGCAGTACATCAGCAACATGGTTTCCAGCAGCATCAGTTGGACCCGAAAGATGATAGGTGAGCTCATCACACACAATATTGAAGAGATCCTTTGCAATAACGGACTTGCGTACGGCTCAAAGAGTAGTTTTGCTCCTAGTGACTTCCAAGAGGGAAGCTCAAGACCTGCACACAGCTTCAATCTGCCCTCATAACCACCAACATATAATATGTCTTGATATCAACCTCAAAAAAGAACCGTACTCGAGCATCTAATGAAGCAGAAACTTTGGGGGATCCTAACACTCCCGTGCGCCCGTGTTGCAAGTCCTTGAACACAACTGTTTATGCTTACAGTTGCGTAAACCTTACAACACACCATAATTTTCCAATAAGTTTGGAAGCACCTGTGACACCATTATTCATTCTGCAGAGAAGCGAGGTACCAGCTAGGTATTCACGAGGCATACGTTCATGCGGTGGCTAACAAAATTTTTCCGTTTTTCCCCAGCCACTTTATTGGGCTTACATGTGAATTTAACCGTGGGAGTGTCAGTCAGCACCATCAGTAGCCAACGGGGCTAGTGTTGGTCAGTGACTACTGGTCAGCTGCCAGCTCGTATTAGGTTCACGTGCCACGTGACGCCACACAGGGCCAGAAAGTGTTCCACACTCGCCATGTTTGCTACAGATGGCGCTGACGGTCACTCCCACGGTTAAATTAACACATAAACCCAATAAAGCGGCCCAGGGAATAGCCGCCAGGATAGCTCAGTGGTAGAGAATGTGTAACATATATATATATATATATATATATATATATAGTGGGAAAGTTCAGTTGCTCTAGTATGTATAAGAAGCTCGTACACGTACGAGAAAGCAAGCACTTTTTTATAGATGTACATTTAGGCCGTGGCACGGCCGAAATGTAAATTTATAAAGGAACTGCTTGCTTTCTCGTACGTGTACCAGCTTCTTTTCTTTATACATATTACACAAACACACTGTGCAGAGTGCTGACACGTGGCCTGCCTTTATGAAAAGTCTAGCATTGCAATAAAAGAACCAGGCGCCATATGTTTACTTCATCTGGCTTTTTTCTTACAAGCTTTTATGACCCTGAACATAAATTGACGATACGAGATTGGTAAAAAATAGGCGAGAAAAAAAAATGCACGCAGATGGCGCTGTCTAAAATGGCAATACGTCCTCCCAGGAACGAATTCACGTATTCACGGGCGGCACAAAGGACCAATGAAAAAAAAAAAAAAAAAACTCACCACAAAGCCGAAGCCATTTTTGATGCTGATCTCGCGGATCCGACCGAAGCCCTTGAAGAAGCGCTCCAGATCTCGCTCCCGAACTTCGTAGTTGAGGCGTCCAACGTAGACGCGTGACGTCATCTCTGGCCAAGGACAAAAGAATGGGAGAAAAGCGGGGGCGTCATTACCAGTGGATCGCGGAAGCGAGTGACGTCAGAGTAGGAAAAAAAAAAAAACTGAAGTAGAAGACACGCTCGAGAATTCTTATTATCAGTTGGATGTTTTCCGCACCACAGCGTTTTGGTCCCGAAAGATGGACATCATGTGCGAACTCTCGAGCGCTTGGCGGGCTTCGCTCAACATGCCGGCATGGTGTAGAATGTTCTAGGAGGCCATGCGCGCGCTTAAATCGCACAAGCGCACTTACTGGCCAACAATACTGGAACAGAGCGTAATTAGGCTTGCGACGGTAAAGCTATCTGATCAGACAATCTCGCGACGAAAAAAAACAGTTGCTCGCACAAAGCGGCGACTGAATCTTCAAATATGTACTTAAATAGCCGACTAAACAGTACCGCTTGTAATTAATGCCGGCGCAGTAACGGAAGATACGCCGGGTCGTTGGAAAATCCCGAGCGACGATAAAAATCGGAAAACACGTCGGCCTTGGGAGGCGCCACGCTACAGTGGCGTTAGGGTTAGCGAGACAGCGCGCCAGGCACGGAAGAAGCCTGTTGCGCTAACAAAAAGAAAAAAAAGAGCGTCGTGGGAAAAAAATTAAAAATTAGCGTTCCACTTACTGTACTCACCCGAGCCGCTTCCGTCGGTGTGAACTCTCGTTTGATGCCGAGATGTGCCTTACTTTTTTGCTGAAAAAAGCTGCGACTTCTCCGTGCTTTGAGCACGAGTTAAGCTTGAAGAAAGGTGACCTTATGGGCTCGCCGAAGGACAGCACCCCACCCAAGACGAAGCAGCAACTACGGGGATCTCACGGACGCCAGCCAGGGCGCACGTGATTTTGTTACATTTGCAAACTCTCCACACCAGGCGCCCTGTTCTGTCTATAAATGGGTAATCTTAAAATTAAAATTTATTTAAAATGTGATGTAAAGTGCAAAGTTTAGAAATTGCAAGTTGTTATACACTATTTTAGTTTAGTTATACGTAACTTTATTAAAAGTATAGGTAATATGGATGACAGCACTTCGCAAATTAAACCAACTATTCTGTGCAAAAAAAAATTCAAAAAATTTTACTCGTGCTTCGCACAGTAAAAAAGTTTCTCACAATGGTTTTTGAAGAATTTCACGGCACTGTATAATTGCGTAACTTCTCTATTATGATAAACACAAAAAAGTGTTAAAACAAAAACAATGTTGTCAATAAACAAACGTAGTGTATTATGTACTTTAATTCAGAATGTTATATTTTTAATAATAGTTTGCTTGTTTTAAAATATACTGTTATTAAGTTATTGCTTTTGTTATTAATATTACATAACGTTTTGCGTTTGAGGCTAAGCAGCGTAAGCGCCACGTAGCAATAACTATTTAAAAAGTCGTCTGCTTAAAAACTTAAGTACAAATTTAGAGTTAAACAACTTAATATAAACATTATTTGTTCTTGCTAAAAGTTACGTTTATTGTTGCTTAATTGAGACGAGCGAAACGTCTACTTAATTTCTCGTAGTGGGGTTCGAGGTTAAAAATGGATATGGCGTGCGCTCGGCCCAACGTTACTGGATGAGGCCCTGCGCTGCCCTGCGCTACCGAAGCGAAGGCGAGGGGAGTCATGGGACCCTATTCGCACCGCATCTGCGAATCACCTCATCGCCATTTTGTGCGCAACGCCAGTCGACCGCCGCGATTCCATGGCCTTCCGGAAGCCGTCGCCACTGGGAGCCTGCAAGTAAGGGCTAAAACCCGTCGGGCCCCTTCGAAAAGTGAAACCTGCTCGATCGCATGCCCCGCCAAAACATCGCCGCGACAAAACACCGGCCCCGAACCCTGCCCAGCAGTGCTTCGATTTTAACCGCTGGTGTACCGCGTCCAGTCCGGGCACATCGCGGGCAGGGTCCGCTTCTTTTTTAGCACCCCAGTCGGAATCCGCGCAGGCCTAGGCGGGTGTTGGTATTATCTCCGATGCCGGGCTTGTAGAGCTCAGAACTCGCGTTTGTTTTTTGTTTTTCCTCACGAATCGGGATGGGAGGGGGCTTATCCACTCTTGCCGTTCGCACCTATCAAACATGTGCGTACCCCTCAAACACCAGGGAAGAGCCTTCTCGGAACCCTGTTCGGACTTTCCTGTGATTGTGTTCGTTAGCGTAGTTTGATCACCTGCGCTGCGCGCAGCGCTTCGGCCGGTCCGGAATCGCAGCGTGCTTCTCAAGGGTCACCCCTGCTACGGGAAATAAAACAGCCGGCGTACCGTGTGTCGCGATCGTTGCTAGGCGAGGCTGCTAACACACGAACTCTCCGTGGAAGTGCCGTTCTTTTCCTCGCACGTCTGAGAGTCGCGTGCTTTCGTTACAATGAGCGAACACCTTTTCTTCTGCGACGGGCGAGAGCGTTTCGTGAAGTAACGTGCAGTGCTTTCATCTACGCGGTTAGATCGAAGCAAAAAGTAAAAAAAAAGAAAAAAAAGAGCAAGCCAGGTATGGTTTGTACGGGTCCTTGTCGCGACGTTTGCGGAACGGGTTGTTGTGCGGCAAATCAATTTACGGGTATTTCGCGTGCGTTGTAGCGCGCTGTTCCCGCGTTTCGGGCACACAGGAAATACCTCGATCGTTGGCTCAACGCGCGCTGGCTGGTTTTGGAACACGGCTCGAGATGCGAATAAAAAGAAAGAAAGTGTTTTCTGGGTTGAGGCAGGGCTTGCACGCCTGTGTCGTGGTTTTGGATGTGTGTGCTTGCGTCGGCTTTGGCGATTTCTTTCGCCGTTTTTTTTTTCCCCCGGTCGCTGCAACCTTGGGACAGGCTCGGATCGCGTCTAACGACGGACGCATTCGTTAGCACATTTTTTCTGGCCACGTATTTATTGCTGTAAGGCCAGAAGTGGTACAAAACTGACAATCTGAACTTTTTTTTTCTTCTTGTAGACCCTCTCTACTGCTTAGCATAGATGCTGTGTCATAACATTTATTCAGATGCACTCAGCATGTGTGATCACGAAAGTGATATTGCAGTTCATAGCATATTTTTTAAGGACGGCCGTACAAGTCATCCTCTTGATTCAAACTCATTGCCTGACTGACGAGCCCTGTTATATACAACCATTAACTCTGTATAAAAAGGTTTGCTACTGCAAGGGAACCACGATTGCAAGCACAGGAAAAATACTGAGCTTGCCACGACTGTATAAAACTGAAGTTAACAATTCCTAAGGGTTTACAGGTCTAAGCCTTCATGTGATTACGATGCACTTCGTGGTGGGGGGGCTACGGATGAATTTAACCATGCGGGTACCTTGGTAACTTATTTGCTAAGGCCCTCTGCAAACAGGCATGTGGTTTTGGGGTTTCCCGGCCATGACGACCATTTTTCGACTGGAATGAAGTGCGTGAAAAGCCCGATTACTTATGCTTGCGTTAAAGGACAATAGGTTGTCATAACTAATCTGGAGTGTTTGTCTCTTTATTAGCTAATAGCTGACACTTCTCTGTGTTGCCTGCTCCTTTTTTTTTATGTTCGACACCTTGTGCCGCGAATATGCCAACCGTCTTTTGTCGTAATTTGTGGCACGCAGGTAAGCTGGTAAGTGATTTTGCGCCAGGACAGCTCAGTTCTGTGAACTAGTGATCTGCAGCAGTTGAAACTGTGCCGTCGCTTGAAGGTGGTATTGTCGCTGTGCGCATGTAACTGGCTAAAAAGGTCAACAAAGAAAAATACAAAAAAAGCTGTCCTTGAAAGACTGATCACGAAATCGGTCTTTTCCTTTGCCCGTCTTGCCGTTTTACGAGTCTTGTGAGCAGACGCTTATGGTGGGCGTATCTGCACGATATATGTGGTCAGCAAAGATACTGGGAGGTTGGGGATGGAAGCATTCTTTCGTGCATTTGTGTCAAACAGCGGATGAGAAAGGGAGCACCTGAAGACGGACCTTATATTTGATACACACAGGGGTCGCCGTCTTGGGTTGTTAAACAAATTTTTCTCTTTTTTTCTGCGTCAGCGACACGAGTTGATGAGGGCATGAAGCATAGAATGCACCAACCCAACCATTTCCATGGGTATGCCGTAGCACTGTTCCTTTATTGTTTAAGGTACACAACGGCAAGGTTTCGAGCCCGATGTGACAGCACTGAAACCCACGCATAAAATATTCTCAGCTCTAAAGTTAGCCGAGTCTCATAATACCATAAGAGCATTGAACATTAAATTTATTACATTGTTTCTTGGTGTTACAACACTATTAACAGGAACGCGGTGTGAGAGGGATTGCGAAAGGCATGCGCTGATGCAAGATTAGTGGGAGAGGCTCTTTTGCTGTAGTGGACATCGTATATAGAGCTGCGTAACACTCTTGCCTTAGTCTTGTGACATAGGCATAAAATGTGGTGCGACCAGTATCTTTGAAGTAGCACAGAAAGCCAACATAGTTGGTAATGCATTGCCAAATAACGCATAAAACACGAGGAAACAGCAAGAAGCACCTGCGTTATCTTCTTGCTGTGTCCTCGCATTTTTCGCACTATTTCACAGTACAGTATCTTTGTGCGAACCAAGTCGGATCTCATCTGTTTTTAACAATTAGAGCACAGAAAAGGTGGGAAGGACACACGTTAACCATGCGCGAACACCTGCTGTGTCAATAACTCAGTCTCTCCCATCTTTATGTGATCGGGCATGAAATGAGGTGCAGCCAATATTTTTGCATTAGCCAAGTCGGATACCGTTTGTTTTCAATGATAAGACCACTGACAAGGTGGGACGGACACATGTTATCCTTATGAAAACACCTATTGTGTCGATAGCTCGAACTCTCCTACCTCTGCGTGATCAGGTACAAAACGAGGTGGGACCAGTACCTTTTCCATTAACCAAGTCGGATGAGTTTATCTACGACGATACTAGCACATAAAAAGTGCGAAACTGCTGCGATGAATCGATTTATCTCATCTATGTGGTAGGGTGGGGCCACCACCTTTGCATTGACCAAGTCGTATAATATTTGTCTTCGATGATAACAGCGCAGAACATTTGATAACTCGAACTCTCCCACCTCGGTGTGATCATTTTGGGCAATGATGAATAAAACATGTTTGGCATTCCACTTTGCCTTTTCTCAGCTTCTTGCCACTATGGTTCAGGGAAACATGTAGTGGACAAAATTGATGCAAAGAACGGAGGTATATCAGAGTTAATAGAAATGGTGTTGCCGTCATCGCAGTATGAAGAATATGCTCATAACAAAGCTGTTTTTTTGTCATATGCTACTTCGATGCGTTGACGCTTTACTTATCTCTTACCTTGTTCATATAGAGAAGTGAGAACTTGATGACTTGACAACAAACAATTCTTGAAAATTTCTGGATATATAAGTGCTCGCCTTAGAAGTTAGATATATTTATCAGCATCCTTTGGATGGTAGTGCAGGTTCAGCAGCTTATCGCAGTAGATGGGTTTTGTTTGGGTGAAAAAAACTCCCGTATGTTCGGCTTTAGAGCTGCACATGAGAGAACACTGGCTGATCAGAAGTAATCTTAGATTTGCCACTACAGAATGTCTTGTTGCCACATTTGCGGTCTTGGCATGGAAAGCACAGTCATTTATTAAAGCGCTGGGGACTGTCCTGGGTTTCCCCGCAGGCTCAGCCATGGCCACTAGCCGTGCAGCTGGAGGCGGCGGAGGGGACGAGCCATCGACATCCGCCGCGGACGACCAGCCACCCGCGTTGGCCAAGCCGCTGCACCTGCAGCGCATCGAGCGGGCCGTCAAGCTCGACAACTTTATCAACTTCATTCACAACTACTTCTCGACGCCCCTCAATGACGACGCCCAGGAGACCGAGGCCGAGAGCTTGTCGGACATCGACGAGGACGGCGACGTTCTCAACGGCGGCGAGAGCACCACCCAGTCGGAGACGGACCGGCGTGCCGAGAAGATGAAGATGTACAACTTTGACAGCGTCAAGAAGAGCCGGCGCTGGCTCAAGAACGTGCTGCTCAGCGACACGTCGTCCTCGGAGGAAGACAACTCGCCCACAGAGGATGACCTCCAGGACTGGCTGCGCCTCCACAAGCTGCACCAGATTGCCAGGGCTGAGCTCAATGCAGACCCCTGAGGTGAGTGCCTTGTTCGCCAAATTTTTGCAAGCCCTAGCTACACAATGTTGCATAGAAAAGAAAATAGTCTGGCCTTTAAGCAAATAGCAAAATTTAAGAAGTTGATGCAGAATCTTATGGCAGTTGTCCAAGGAATCATTGTTGGTCCAATTTTGTCATTTTGCTACAATCCCATTTCTCTTCGAATCTGGCATCAGCTGTGGTGTCTATACCCCTAATGTGCATGCTCGCAGTCTCGTGCCAACTGTTGCTCCCCCCACTTTCTCGCCTCGCAAGGCCACTGCAGGCAGCGTCTGCCAGTAAAAACTGACTGCTTGTGCTGCACAACTGTTCACTAACCATCCCATATATGTAGGCACCTGGATCGGGCCTTCTGAATTCACTCAAGGGCGTCTTGGCTTTCGCTTGACGTTGAAGGCGACGGTTCTCCTTCGTTTAATAAAGACTGTAATAACAATTATGCATTCTCAAACTGTACCCACTTACGCAACATTCATGCGATACCCCCACCACTCTGCAACGCATTTACTTGAATTGCCCTCGTGGGGAAATGCGGGTGGCAATTTTTTTATTTGTTCGCGTGTTGCTTTGCTGCTAAAGAACTTTTTTTTACTCTGGATGGTCGGTCACAATTCCCTCTTTTTGTGTCCCTGCCTGCGGGCATCGCCTCCTTTTTTTTTTTTTCATAATAAGTGAGTATCCTGCATGACGACCTTCTTGCTCTGTCTTTCCTCATGTCCAGTTGCGGCAGTACCAGTACTACGGAGTGGGCATGCTTTCCCAGCACGACCCGTTTCCCGAGCACCAGAAGGCCTTCCTGGGCAACAAGAAGAAGGCCAAAGAGAAGAGGGCCATGGAGCGCAAGAAGGGTGAGGGGGCGCCACTGTTGCGTTGCCATGCTAGCGGCATTTCCTTGTTTAACGCCCACGAGCTCTGAAACACTTGTTCAATTAACCATGGAATGGATTTACTGAAAGAACTTATCGCGTCACGAATTCAACGGCGCAAAAATGCTTATAAATCCGTCCAGTACGAGTGGAGTGACAAAGATTTGTCGCACACAACAATCGTATTCTCTCGTCCCGACAAAAGCGCTAGAAGCTAAGCAGGGAGCGTTGGCAGGGGCAAAGAAAATGCGTCGCGCGCCTCGTGACCTCGAGCACTTTTTTCTTTCTTCTAATACGCAACGTTTCCAGTGCGATAGCATGCGCACGCGTGGACAAGTCGCGTCCTCTCACCGCAAACCCTGTAATGACCGAGTGTGCCACGTTTAAATCGTCCAATTCCTGATAGATGGGCTTTTTAAGAGTGATTTTCGAGCGCCTTCCGTGATTTGTCGAGAAAAGAGAAAGCAACTTGGCTTTCCTTTGGCTAACCTTGATAATTTATTGTGAATTCCATGCTGCATGCTGCGCTATAATATTTGGCTCCCGTGCTCTCGGGAGCATCTACTGCCGATCAGCAAGGTTTTCTGATCATGCTCAAACAGTTTTGCAGGGCCCCTTTAAAAGAAAGGCATAGTGTTTTTTTTTAATGAGTCGTTGTGGGTACCTGTGGCAATGTCGCGAAGCGTGGCCAGCTCAGTTGAGCTCTCTCTCTTAACTTAAAATCTTTTAAACCTTATGTCCAGCATTAATAATCGTTAAGAAGTGCCCTTGTATACAGGACAATAAAACAACACAAAGATCTTGAAGTTTCAATTCTGGTGTCGAGTGTCTTTTGAGAACAAGACCCTCTAGAATCGTTTGTATGGTTACACACACGGTTTATTTCATAAGTAGCCAGCAGTATGAATTCCAGAAAGAAGCCCGTACGGCTCATTAAGAGTTTGTGTTGGAATAACTGTCTCTGTAGTTCGTAGACATACGAAACCAATTGGCATCAAGTGGGAACACGAAGGGAGAAGAGCCGCTTTAGGTCCAGTCAGCATCGTTTCGACGCGCCCGCGCTTCAGGTGTCACTCACTCATCATCATCTGAGCCTTAACTCGTTACCTCTCATGATTGGGCGAACGAGTGGCGATTCTGAGAAATAGGCCTGCAATAGAGTGTTGAAGAATTAGTTATTGATTTAAATTGATTCATGGTTTCACTTTGTCTCTCTGAAGCAAGATAGAAGCCATCACAGTTGTATGGCACGACGCATGCCACTGCAGGAGTTCCGTGTGATGTGTAAATAGTGAATTTTAGATAAGAAGCGAATTCAAAGCTAATAGAGATTGATTTTGGTTGAATATTTTCCAATCCAATAAGATATATATATATGTATCGCATATTATAAGGAAAACAGGCATGTTTGGATTGACATAATTAGCTTGCACAACGTTTGACAAGCCTACTAAAAAAAAAGCGGGGGGTGGGGGGAAGGGGGGACGACTGGCATTCTGAAGAGTGAACTAAAATGCTTCATTTTAAAGTCAATAACTTCAACGCAAAAATTTTGGTCTGTGTCTGTCTGTACATTTGTCTGTTTATCCATCGTAACGATACTTCAAACAGCACCAAGAGATACGCCTAACGGCCAACCCCATCCGCAGCGCCCACCAATATTGCTCAGGTTTCAGCATTCATTCTTGTGCAATTGTCAATTAAATATCAGTTATTGCACATATCATAGGCACCATAAGAACACATTCATGTTTTGTATGTGTGCTTTTATACTAGAGAAGGCATACGTAAGTAATAATTTTAAGGACCATTGCGTTAATCGCGTTACGCTGACAGTGCAAGTCGATGCTCGAAAAGGAGAGCGTTTCCAACGTTTTGCTAAGACGACACGATGGTGGCGTCTGCCCGTCGCTTTGCGTTGTACACCTCATTGCCTCCGAAACAGGCGCGTACGCCTTCCTTCATTTTCGAAGATAACTGCCAGATAGCGCACAGGTCTAACGTGCCTCGATGCGCTCGTTTGCCTCTGCCGCACGGATCGAGGCTCTCTAACGCTGCGCTTCCGGAATGCAATTCACCGATATTTTCGTGCAGAACATAAAATGAACGTTTTGTTCACTCTCTCCACATGCAAGACTAGTCTCTCGACATTTGCAGTGAAGCGTGCAGATACGGGGCCAATTTCTTGAAAGTAGGAACTCAGTTCTTTTCTCTTGGGTCTTCTTTCTTGTGCAGCCAAGCTAAAAAGGATCAAGATGGAGCCTGATTATGATGACGACTCGTTTAACCAGGTGAGCACAATTTATTGACAGCACTCGCGAGGATGTTCTTGGGCAGCGGAGGACGGCTGCATTGGTCTACAGGGAGAAGATGAGTAATGGACACGCCATCGGTTCGCATCATATCTAGAAGAGCGCCGTACAGTGGCCTAGTAGTTGAGATAGCCTAAATGATGACCAAAGCTTAAATGATGCCCAAAAGGTTGTGGGATCGAATCGTGGCTGTGATGGCGAAGTGATAAGAGGCCCATGTTCCTAGTCTTAGGTGCAAGACTCTGGGCTGTGCCAAGCGGGCGGGCCTAGCACAGCGTAGGCCCGCTTGCGCCTCAATGTGCCAGTCCGAATAAAGTTCGTTCATCTCGCCTCACGCTAACAAGTCCCAGAAGTGATTATGCTGCTTATTAGTGTGCAGGTTTGATTTCCAGCCCTTGTGGCTGCATTCTGGCGCCGCTAGCGTGTGAAAACGTTCCTAAACTTACATTTTGGTGCACAGTAAGTAGCTTCAAGCAATCAAATTTATTTGGGAGTCTTCTCCACTGCATCACGCCACGATAAGCGTAGCACGGTTGGGGCACCTGGTACCGCAGAATTTATTTTTTTCCCCCGTTCTTTTATTTCTTTTTCTTTGTGGTAACCAGTTGGCATGCAGAGATATCCTTAATTTTCTTGTCCTTATCTGTTCTCGTAGGACAACTCTGAGGGGGAGGCCGCCAGCCTAGACGACTCGCGCCGCAGCCCGGACAGCATGTATGGGGATGGGCCGGGCCCCAACCACATGTCCGGAGGGGCATCGCGGTCCCACGGCCGCAAGAAGAGCGCCGCGGCCATTGAGGCTTCTATGAACCTGAAGCGACGACGCCTCTGGGTGGCCCTGTCCAAGAAGGAGATTGCCAGGGTGAGTTCTTGGTTCGTCAACGCGGGCTGCACGTGCGATAGTTTGTTTTGTTTGACAAGTTAGTCGGCAGTAGTAGTTTTATGGACTTGGCTCTCTCATCATAACACACCGAGTTTTGTGTTGGTACGTCTAGATGGGGGAGGGTGCTTTCTGGCACCAAAAATCGTAGGCTTGTGCAAATAGTGAATTTTAGGTTTGAAGGGAATTCGAAGCGAATAATGATTTTGTTCTAATAATCTCGAATCGAATTTCAATAGTATATATCACATATAAAGAAAAATGGGCATATTGGTCATAATTTAATTAACTTGCACAATATATTTTTTTTTAATGTTGAAACAAGACCTGGGCAAATGCCATTTTTTTATTTCAATGTAAGTAGAAGCAATTTTTAATGATGGCAGGATTTGACTTTCAGTAGAATGCTAGTGATAACCTGTAAAATATGATGTGTATTAAAATGATTTCACCTAGAGCATATGAGCCAGAATAACAAGCTTGTAAACTTTGAATTAATCAATGTGAAGCTAATATGTTCACTTAGCCTTGAAGTGGGGCTTTGCACCAGTGCAAAATTCTTCAGGATAAGTGTTTTTACTGTAACATTTTTTTGTTGCAGTGAAACCATCTTTACTGAAGAATACATGCGAATTAATATGTAGTAGGTACATGCTTTCACGGCTCAACAGTCTCTTATAGCAGTGAAACCATCTTTACAGGAGGTTACATGTGGAATTAGATGCATCTATTTGTTTATTTTGAATACTTCGTAATTTTCAGTATTTTAAATTTGAATTTAAGCGAATTCAAATGCACTAATATTTGTTGGCATATTCGAATGTTTGCAGCAAGCCTGAAAAATTGCATTAACATCTTCACTGTGACGTGGGTCACGGGCTGTGCTTCTAATATGCATCCGCATTGTTGTGATCGTGCGTCTGCTTGCCGATGTGATAACTCCATTAAACACGGACGCATAGGTATGATTCCTGCATCAAGAGGTTATAGATAAGCTGAAGAAATTTTTTCTGGGTCTAGATGACCATGACCCACAAGTGTGACCCACTCGTGGGTCTGTGCGCATTCGGAAGGTGTGGTGAGTGGCCTTGCGGTGGGTCGCTCTGCACATAAAACGAGAAACGAGACCTAAAGAAAGCTTGCTACAGAAATGTATTTAGGTTTTGCCATTAATGATGTAAGATCTCACCCACTTTCGTACATTCTGGGTTGTTCTAGCCGTAATAGCCTTTCGTATTGCAGTCAATCCTGTTTTGTTCTGTGCTGATTTTATAGTTTCAGTCAATAGCTAACTCCAACCTTTAGAGAGCTTTGGTACAAGTTATTTTGTTGAGTTTTTGTCTCACTGGGAGGCACAGTGTTTAGTGAGTACAATACGATGCTACACGTTTCTTTGGGAGGCTATAAATGTTCAAGAAAGTGTGAATGAAGGAAATGTGCTCTTTCTCAGTCATTCATATGAGAATTTCGAAGCTTTGCAACTTGTGTTCTAGGAAAGCTGGGACCATAAGATTGCTCTTGTGGCATCCTTTGACATCTCATTTGGTAGGATCTGGCTGGTCAGTTCATTAAAAACACAGTTGAATGAAGTTTCTCATGTCCAACTAATTTAAAAATAATGCTACGGTACTCGTAAAAACTGAGCTCTCACTTCATGTGAGCCTGTGAACATAGACGTGCACACGGGGGAGGGGGGGGGGGGGGGGGGATGGTGATGTCAGCCCCATACATTGACATAATAGAGAAGGCTAGAACATTAATAATAGGTCGGCAAGCTCGCTTGCGAGTCGACTCACTTGGAGTCGCTCGGGACGCCGATCGGGGCGTGAGTCTGAGCGTGTCCGATTACTATTTTAGTGAATTTGATGAGTCCGACCAAGTCCGTTTCAGGAAAAGTTTAGTGAGTGTGATTTCGAGCGAGTCCAACGGAAGAAAATGGCGAATCCGAGTAGCAGTGAGCCCTAAGAGCAGAATATATTGCTCGAGTGAGTGTGAGTTACTAACGCTCCACATTTGATTGCTGACGTACGGTTTCTACGCATTTGTGTTTCCCTTCTTCATGCGCGGGGCTGCTGACCGAGCGCTCACATTTGCTCGTTTTGCTTTCAGGCGCAGAAGCAGAAAGCGAATGTCCACAAGGAGATGCTGACGAATGCAAAAAAGGTTAGTGTCTCCTGCTTATTTCTTTTTAAAATTCGCAATTGCCATCAGAAAATAGTGAAACGAGTGGGGCATCTGTCGGATTTTTATTAGTAAATTGTTAGTTTTTGGAACATCGTAAGGGCCTTGAATGCATTACTCTGGGAAACGAGCACCGTAGAACACCGTTCATACGATTTTGATAGGCTTGTGTGAATGGGGAGTTCTAAGTTATTTTGGTTAAATAATTTTGAATACAATTCAAATGGTGCTTAGTATCACAAAAGTATAAAGAAAAATGACCATAATCATGACCTAACCTACATGCACAATATTAAAAAAAAAAATTGAAACAAGGCCTGCGAAAATACCATTATTTTAGTTCAAAGGAAGTGGAAACAACTTTGAATAGTAGCAGGATTTAAAGTTATGTAACCTATAAAATATGTTTTAAAATTGTCTACAGTTGAATGCCGCTACAACAAACGTTGCTTCCACGAAATTCCCGCAGCAACGAAAAGTCTAGTTTCCTTGTCAGCAGTTCACAAGAATCGATGCATAAATACTCCCGCCACAACAAACACTTTTTATTCCGACATTGCAGTACATCGAAATTGGGACGATGGAAATCCAGGTTCAGATATTTTGATGCATTTTCAGAACATAGAAATGCATATACAAGGTCTAGAGCGCACGTTGGCATCACTAGAAACAGCCGCTGTTCACTGTACCGGTGTTGACCAATTATGGGGGCTGCCATTTCTCGATAGCGATGGCAATGGTACTGCCCTGCTTTTGCCACTAGCTTGCTTCTGAGCCGCAGGCAATCAGAAGCTCAAGCTTAGTCGCGTTCGTACTTTCCCATGATGCCTTTTCCGTTGCCAGTCAGGTCGCTTGGTCAGTGAGGTCACTGGTCAGAGCGGCTGTTCGTCCACGCTATCAACAAAATCAGCCAGCCGTGACTAGTAGAGGATACGAATAGCATAAATCACCGCTCCGCGATAACGCGCCTCTGTCTCTGCATTGTCGGATGCCTTGTGACGTTAGAGTGCGACTGGTGTTGGCGTGCTTAGTACAACTGTTAGGTTCGTTCACAAATGCCGCTGTGGCCATTGTTCCAGCCTGCTTTTCAGCGGGATGTTGCTATGCATGTGAGAGAATGGCATTATGATGCTGCTGGGAAAGAATAAGAGCGGCCGGCACTTTTTTAATTTTAGGAATAAAGGTTCCTCTGTTTTGCAAGTTTAGGTCAGCTATGATTTTTTAAAATTTCGTTACAATGACATTTTTTCTGCGCCCCTGTCACTTTTGTTGTACTGGGGTTCGACTGTATACGCTAGCTGATACAACAAGCTCTTAAACTAAAGAAATGATGAACCGATGGGAGTGTAATAGGTTCATTTAACCTTGAAGTGGGGCTTCGAGGCAGTGTAGATTTATTTTGGATAGCTGTTTTCGCAGCTTATCGCTATTTTATTGCAGTGAAACCACCTTCACAGGGGTAGTACACATGGCATAATATTCACTTATTCGTTCATCTCAAATATTTCTAAAATTTTCATAACTGCAATACTAATTGTAGTGAATTTGAATTTTGTAATATTTGTTCGAATATACAAAGCATTTGAATATTTTCAGAAGCCTAGTAAGGGGATCAAACAATTCAATATCTGATATATTGCTTGCTTACAAATATTCAAATTTCCAGAGTAAGGAAAGATTTCAAATTACCGAACTGTGCAGCTGTTGGAAGAAAATAACAGCTGTTGCAAGAATTGTTATTATTATCAACCGTATCTGAATGCTCAGCAAACCAGAATAGAGGTACACTCAAACCTCGAGAAAGCGAAGACAGATATAATGAAATACTGGTTATAAGAAAGTAAATGAAGAATAGCCTTGCAATAAGTATACTGTTGAGAATACACCTTTATAACAAATTTTGATGAAGCTATTTCAGTTTCAGATGCAACTTCGTTATAATTAGCTCAGAGTATAGCTGATCTGCCAGTTCTGTTTAGGTTGTTTTCGCTAACCGAGATTGTACAGTAACCTCACTTTTCGCGTTTCTTTTCGAATCGCTCCAGCTGGCAGTGGCGTGCCAGCGGGAGGTGCGGCGCTCGGCGCTGGGCTCCCAAAAGACTGGCCGGGACGTGGCCGGGGGCCGTGGCCGCCGGCTTGCCCGCGAGATGGCCCTCTACTGGAAGCGCTACGAGAAGGTTGAGAAGGAGCACCGCAAGCGTGCCGAGCGCGAGGCTCAAGAGCAGCTGCGCATGGACATCGAGCTGCGTGAGGCCAAGAGGCAGCAGCGCAAGCTCAACTTCCTCATCACTCAGGTGAGCGGGGGCTTTATAAGAGGCACTGACATAAGAGAAAAATGGGTAAAAGGGACACCAGCGTGCCCACAGTAAAATACGGGTTGATAAGGAAATACATACGAGATAAGATACCCTGCTTATAAGAGAGATCTCATATAAAAGACAAGAATTGCTGCCCGGAGCATGCCTCTTATAAAGAGGTTTAACTGTAGTTCAAAGTGATATTGTGAAAAGAAAAGTTGGGGGGAGGGGGACAGATTTTTAAGCATAATCCTACGAGATACCGCAGCCTGAAAGTTTCTGTTTACGCCAGGCTGATGAAGCACTGGTGGGGTTGTCATTGGTAGTTGCCTTATCAAGACGGAGGCAATGCAGAGGCTGAATTGTTTTAGTGCACGATTCAGTGCAGCCATAGTGTTGCCGACAACACTTCTCACGTGAAAGGCAAAATGATATTTTATCGGTCTCTGCTGCTCTCTTCAACTTCTGGGGAAGCCCAATTGATGTGGCTGATGAGGTTGGGCTACCTTCAAGTTAGAAGTTCCAAATCTGCCTCGTTATGTCAACATACAAGAACGTTTGAAATTATATTGATTGCTAAAAATCTTCGGCGTCGGATTTTTCGGACATCCTGCCTGAATAGCAGGTGGAGAACAGTATTTATTGAGCCCCTGCATTTTCATCTATCATACCCGTGTTGGAACCAGCGTTTTCTCGAATCAATACGTTTGCTACCGCAGCGCACGCTGAAAGGCAGCTTTGCCGCAATACGAGAATGGGATGAGGTCAATGATGTTGAAGATCTGTAAGGGTCACTTTCAATTGAATGCTCACAGCATTGGTCTTAGGGAAGTTCGAATAGTTTAAATATTAAGAATTACAGTGCAAATTGAATCTAATAGCAAACACTATTAGAAAAGTATTCGTAACATCAAATATTTGCAGACGCTAGTATTTTATTATAGGGAACTTCTTCACAACACTTGCTTTCGTAATGACCTGTACAAAATCTGGGGCCAGTAACACTGTTGTCATTCAACAAACCGAAGACTAAACTGCAGCTTTGATAGAAATTCTTTATGAAGCACCCGCCGCGGGTGTTTTGTGGTTGTAGTGCTCAGCTGCTGACCCAAAGGCCGCGGGATCGAATCCCAGCCGCCGCAGCCGCATTTTCGTGGAGGCGGATGTGCTTGGATATAGGTGTACGCTGAGGAACCCCAGGCGGTCGAAATTTTCGGAGCCCTTCGCTATATCGAGATGGGATCGTGGGATGTAAAACCTCGATACTTATCTTTATAAAGCAGTAGTTGTAACTCGTCATTAGGCGTTGGTCTTCCACGTCTCTCTGACCATAGTTTATTGTGTACACTGAAACCTCGATATAACCAACCCGAATGGACGAAATATTGGTTCTAACGAAGTAAATGAAGAACAGTCTTGCAATTATTATAGCGTTAGGAACAAACCTTTTAGAACGAATTTTAGGATGTAACGAACTTGTCTTGATGCAAACAGCAACTTGTTGTAACGACGTATGAGTGTATTGCCTTGTAGCAAATTGGAAATCAGGGCCCAAAGATGAAGTTGCTGCCAATAGTCTTGTCACAAATCAGCATCGATGACCACTGATTTTGGATGAAGCTAAGGTAAAGTGCTTAATAACATGTTGTGTTGGGCGCATTCGTGTGTAGATATGAGCGCAAAAGGACGACCGCTAGCATAGTCGTCTTGTCTTGTTTGTCGTCTTGTCTCGTCCTTTTGTACTCAAATGTATCCAACTTATAAAGCTCGTGTGAGTTGAGCAAAGATCTAAAGAACTGATCTTTCAATGAAAAATGGCAAACAACCAAAGTGCTTTTAACAATTTCGTATAGATATATGTTTTCTTGCCTGCATATTTCATCGGTAAGGTATTGTTGTGTTTGAAATGAATCTGCGGGCAACCGAATTTGACCTCACTTCTACCTCGCCCGAACTCAGTATGTTTCTATAGCTGCCGCACTGTTCTTAGATGTTCAACACAACCAATCAATCCTGGTTTATTGCAGACGGAGCTGTATGCGCATTTCATGAGCCGCAAGATATCTGGCGGGGACCCTGATCCCCGTCAGGACGAGATTCTTCAGAACCTCGACGAGTCGGCGTCGTGTTCCCGTTCCAGCTCGCTGCTAGATGCAGAGGACGATGATTACGGTGAGTTCTGAAGACTTGGTTTCACAACATTGGCTCCTGATTTGCTGTTACGACATAAACCGTTTACAACGTAAGTTGGGAGCAGGCAGCACCGCTAGGCAGCGTTTTCTGGCCATGCAGGGTCTGTTTGAAGGGATACTGAACAGAAATTGCAGAAATTGGAAAAGCTGATAAAAACATCGAAAGTTACTCGGAAGATAAGATTGTTCCGATAAGCAGGGTTCGTTTCACCCATTTTTAAACGGTTGGCTGTATTTATGATGGATTGTCAGAGCGCGGCAGCTGCACGCGGGCGGGAGTTGTGACGTCGCAGTCGCCGAGGTGCGTGCAGAAAGCCCATGTTTCAAGTTTGTCCCCTTCCCTTGCTCCACCTCTCCTTTCATCCCACTCTCCTACTTCCACTACAGTACTGATGCTTTACCCCAAGCCGGAGGATTGTTCACTGAGGATGCTGTTTGTGGTCATACCGGAAATTGTAGCGGGAGATCAGCTGGCTGAGAGACGCGGACGACAGCTCGCATTGTTCGCATGCCTGTTTTAGATCACAGCACGGTCGCTAGACCCAGCAATTTGTGAACAATGCATTAGATTACTTATCTTTCTGTACTTTCTGCCCGAAATGATTTAAGTACTTCATTTTAGCTGAAAATCTTGACGTCGAAAATATGTTGAGTATCCCTTTTAAGATCCTTTCATTTGCTTTATCATGTCACTGTCGATAATTACTATTTTTCCCGCATTCTCGACCGGCTAACTCGCGTCGCTTCTTGCCGCTTGCAGATAAGGAGGCCGTGAAGGCGCAGGCTCTGCACAATGCAGAGGAAGCGTACAGGGCGCACCAGGCTAAGGTAAGCAGTCGAATCATTGCCGCATTTAGTCAAAGCTTGTGCTTGCTATTCCGATACAGGTAATGTCACGCTGCCATGGTATTCCAGTGGTTATGGAACAAAGGTCAAGAGATTGTCCCGGCTGTGAAGGCAGCATTTCGATGGAGGCACAGTGCTGAAGGCCTGCGTGCTTTAATTAAGGTGCACATTAAAGAACACCAGATTATAAAAATTTCCAAAGCCCCATCACTAAGGCATTCCTAATCATTTCATGGTTTTGGGACATAGAACCATAAGTTTTGTTGTGACAAGCAGGCTATGTGGAAAAAGTTTTCATTGCGATCGTCAAATTAGCTCTCTGGCTTTTTAAGAGAGCAGTCTGTATGTTCATTTGGTTGTGTGATGGATCTGTACTGACCAGTCCTATTTGCTACCCAAAAGAAAATGGGTTTTGAGAGACAATACAAGAGAAGTACTCCAGAACTTGTAATCTTCGTAAATGTTTGAAAATGGAAACGAGCTGTAATCTTGACTCTAAGTGCCAATTGAAATAAGGAAGCTTGTTTGTGTTGTTTATATTGCTAATTATTATCTTAACAGTATTTAACTTGAAGGCATTGATGGATGAATGCGTGAGTCAGCCCCGGTGGAAGAGATGTTATGGTGCTAGGCTGCTGACCCGGAGGTCGCAGGTTCAAACCCGGTTGCAGCGGTAACATTTCGATGAAGGCGATACAGTAGAGGCCCGTGTACTGTGTAATGTCACTGTGCGCTAAAAGACACCAAATATATGGCCAAAATGATTGTGAGAGACTCTGTAGTCTCTCACAATTCTGTTGTGGTTTAGAAACTTTGAACCCCGTATAATAATGAAGAGCGCACGAATGGATTTAAAAGAAAAGTAGACATACACAAGAAAAAGCGGACTGACAAAGAATACAGTTATAGAAAAAGAACAAAGAAAAAATTCAAATTGTTTTGTGCTACAGGCAGTGCAAGGGTTAAATGAAGTTAGATTAACGGAGCAATATCTGCCCAAGTATTTGCGCCACTGTTTACGGCAGGTAGTCTTTGATCAACACAGGAAACGTGCTATGACTAATGATGGCTTTGCTAGGTGATAAGGCAAACTGAGATTAATATCTGAATTTTTTTCCCCTCTATGCAAAACAGTGTGGGTTACTCATCAACTTTCCATTGCCTAGACAAGGTAAAGCTCTGGATTTGTTTGCCAGAAAATGACTTTTCTCACTTTCAAACACAATCGGAAGGTATACTTTGTAGTAGTATGCGTATACATGAAACCTTGTTGCAATGAAACAGGTCACAACGAAGTATAGGATGTGATGGATTGATTGATATGCCTGTTTGGATCCTTGTTATGACGGAGCAAATATTTTTTTTGACACTGATGACAATGCCACTGTACCGCTTTGCAGACTGAAGGATTCGATGCAGAAGTCAAGTGTCTGAAGACGCCGACGAAGAAGGGAGCGTCGACGCAGAACGATTGTGAGTTTGTGTCGCTGTTCTAGATTTTGCTCAAACGTATCATTACTCTCATGGCTGAATGGCCAGTTTATGAAGCTGTATGCATCAAGCTACATATGTCAAAGTACAAGCTTCATGTTAAGCACAAAGTGTGTAGTTTGTATGTCCAGCTACATATGTAGTATTTGGCCCAAAGTTAGCCATCCAGCATGTAAACTGAGGCCAAAATCAATTTCATTGATCGATTAGCATCTGTGCAGAGCTTTTCATCTCGATCACTCAACAGAATTTTGCATGGTGGCTTACTTATGTAAATTCATTTGCTATTGGTGAATTCGACCCGGGATGAAATGCCTTGGAAATTTAGGAAAGTTCAGGTACTTTGGACATTAAGGGACACTGAATAGGAAAGCGATTTCTTTTCAAATTAGTATATTACTTTCTTGAAGTTTTTCACAGTCTCAAGATCACACCGCTTGCTTGAACAAGAGCTTAATAAGCGAGAAAACTAGCAAATCGAAAATGCTGATGGAGACACGACAGTAAAATTCACGCATCATGCAACATGACATTACATTTTGGCATTATCGACTACGTTCTACATAGTAGTATTTTCTAATTGGTCATAATGAAAAAGCCTTTTAACGGGGCCATAGAAATAATGCCTTAGTCTCAGGAAATCTCGGTTAGCTGGTGTCGTCGCAGTACGATAAATTCACTGAGAAATCCTTGACCTCACAGAGAGAGATTTCGAGGCCAAATTTAAAGACGAACATTTGGTCTTTACTTGTTCTTCTATTTGAATGTACACCTATTGGGGTGGAATTAGTGCAGATTGAGTCCTGAGAGCATAATTCGTCGATCTAAATCTATTCAATGTCGTTGACACGCACAGTCGTGGGAAAAGTGGATGTCCACGCTACCATGCCCTTTTTGATAACTTATTAAAGTTTTTCGTTCAGAGGGACAGTTGTGCTCCATGCCAAGGTTACATTTTATGCTGTAGTGTTTGTTGCATTCGTGAAGAAAGAACAGTTGTCCGCATTCTTCGTTTGCAGTAAACGATGACTTCAGAGTGACGGCCGACCCGAACCTGACAACGGAAGACCTCTCGCAGCCGCGCATGTTCGAAGGAAAACTGAAGAGTTATCAACTCAAGGTATCCTCGGAGAATGCCCTGGTGTCCACACTGCGTTAACTGCGTGTTATAAACAAGAGTTGATTTTCTATTTGTAAGCTTTATCTTGGCTAATTGATGCAATGCTGCATTTGGTGACATTTTGCCTAGTGTTTCAGGAAATGTTGGCAAGCTCTGCACGACGCCCCACACTTACCCTGTGCACTACACTTAAACGTCACTATAACGAACCCAAATATAACAGAATAATGGTTATAACGAAGTATGTGAAGAATAGTCTTCTAATAGGTACAGTGTTAAGGGTATACTTTTATTACAGATTTCTGGGTACAACGAACTTGACTTCGTGTAAGGTGCAAATTTGTTATAAGGAGGTTTGAGTGTATTGACTGATTGGTTTTTGGACTAACTTGTGCATTGACCTTAGTGCTATCCTGTCGTCCTGTCCACAAATTTGTTTACTTATCTGCTGACTACCTTCTGATCAAGTTGATCTAATTTATTCATTATTCATTATCAAAATGTTCATTAACCAGTGATCAACTTGTTTGCTAATCTATTGACAAGCTCAATACTAATCATTGGCAAGGCTTCCTGAAGGAAGCCAAAATGTCACTACTCTTATGCTGTGCTGTTTTCATCTGTGTAGAGTCCTTTCAGTTTTAACAGAAATACAGAACAGACCACTTATAACGTAAGTTGCGGGAGGCCCGAACTTGTGCAAAACGTGTTGAGCATGCAGCTTCGCGTGTCCGAGAATCGAAACATGGAATGCATGCTTGCTAACATTTATGCTTTTGAATGTTGAAAGAATTTAACCACTATTTGAGCTCTACACGTGCCGCCCTCATTTTCATTTAATGATATGTATCCCTTCCTGTAACGTGCGGCCACCGCAAAGAGTTCTGTTGACTCGGTACCAAACTGCAACTTAGATTCACGCGACCGCTACCGATCGAAGCGCAACCTACACCGATTAGGCCTAGCTTGCCGTTTGGTATGTTGTCGCGGAAAGCTTGTCAAAAACATGAGTATTCGGCGTCAAGAAGATCGCACTAACAGTGAACCAAGAACCACGTGTGTGATACGAAGTTAGCGTTCGCGGCCGGGAGATCAGCGACGACGGTCAACAGCTCGCCAAGCTTACGCACGACAGCGCACTGGCACCAAAAGTGAAAGCTCGCGTCATAAAACTAAAAGGTTTTCAGTCATAAAACTGTAAAAGGTTTTCAATTTACGGACAATGAAGCAAAGGTGATATTTGTTGCAAGCGCAATAACGACGACTTCTACCCCGACAGGAAACCCTTAAGCGCATGTAGTTGTAAAGACGGGATCGCACGTGCCACGTTGAGCGGTGCGCGGCCGAAGCTGCGCTAGCGACGTAGTACGCTGTAGCCGTGTCGGCGCCGGTGCAAAGGCTTGTCGGTCACCGAGGAAACCGTCCTCCTCCCTCATTCGGCGAGCCCGTGCAGCGTCCCACAGTCTTTTTTCTTCATTTTCTTTTTCTTCTCTCTGCCCTTCGTTCATTCACTTCGTGTCCCCTCCTCCTCCATAACGCTCGCTCCCCAGCGAAGCACCCAGCGCTAATCGCTAACGCGTTTGTCACAAACAATTTTCGGCAACCGCATTACAACTGGTCTTTCATCTTGGGGGACTGCACAATAAGCGGTATGCATATACATGGGATTCTATGGAAGGGTTAACGGGAGTAGAAAAAGACTGCATTGTAAGTGGTTCTGCACTATAAGCGGTTACGTTATAAGTGGTCTACACTGTAATTAACTTGTATTGCAACATTGCTTGACAACCTCTCATCTGAGTAATGAGTGTAGTGGTTCTTCGAACGCAGCTGTTGGGCAGGAGACTAGAAAGTTCGAAGTTTCACGCCAGGCTTCAGTATTATTCTAATAAGGCTGATTTAAAAAACACTTGTATATACCTATATCCACTCTCTGCTGGTCTCCTTGAGGTTGCACCTATCGTTTTTCTTTCGCGGCAAGAAGGACTAGAAGAGAGCAGAGTGGGTCGCGAAACTAACCGGTGTTAAGGGCATCTTAGCGGAAATCGGGAAGAAGGAATGGCATGTAGCGCCTTGGCAAGATAATGGCTGGTCATTAACGGTAGCTGCCTCGATTCAAAGAGAAGGCAAATGTGCCAAGGGGAGACAGAAAATTAGGTGAGCAAATGAGATTAAAAAATTTACAGGTATAACGTAGCAGCAGAAAGTACGTACATGATTGGCTTGATTGTTGGAACATGGGAGAGGTTTTTGCATAGTCAGGCTGATGATAATTATGACTTAATGTGACAGCTTCCTGTAATGTCTCGTAGCTTGTGCCTTGCTTTGTCATGTTACTATTAAGCTGGATAGCTTAGTTGATTGAAGTCTTTGTTTTTTGTGCGCGAAACCACTCACCAAGTGTACTGGCGTCTTCCCCTTCGGCCACATGAACAGGGCATGAACTGGCTGTACAGCCTCTACGACAAGGGCATCAACGGGATCCTTGCCGACGAGATGGGCCTTGGCAAGACTGTACAAACCATCGCATTCCTAGCCGCACTGGCGGAGGTTAGTTCTTTTGTCTGCATATTATCGCCCTTTTGCTACATTTTATTTTCTTCGTTTTCACAAATAGGGTTGATCCTCTCTCTTTCTGTGGTTAACAACATATGTGTCCAAGCTGGTTGGTACTCCTTAATTGCCCTGTGTTAAAGGATCACTGACATCAAGTTTCAAGACCGAGATGAGCCCATCATTCGATCGCTTGGTATGCATAGGTCTTCTTGGCCAAATTTGAATAGCATCCGTCGCGTGGAAGTTATTTTAATTCGATGTCAAACAGCATAGAAAAGCTAAGGAGAAAAAACGGAAGATAGACTGCCGTGTGACGTCGACACTAGTGCTACGTGTTCGGTGTGATACATTCCACAAATACCATCCTTAGTGACGATACGCTGGTAACAATGACGTCGACGATCTAAGTGTGTTTGGAGCCGACTCCCAGCCAAGCTCTCCTTGCTGTGTTGAAGCGTGCGTGTGATTCATCGTATCGCATCGACTGATTTGACCTGTGCTTCAGAGCGTGAGTACGATCATTCAGAGTGACAATACGTGCCAGAATGTCGGGGAATCACTGCAAAGTGAGAACCTGCACGTCAAGGTGCGTAAGTTGCGGCGTGTTTGATGCCTTTCCAAGCCACAAACCTCAACGCAGCCAGTGGGTTGACTTCGTATGTGCCAATGGACAGAACGACTGGAGGCCTGTGAAGAACAGTCGCATTCGCTCGCTTCACTTTGTGCCGAGCTGCTAGAGGGTAAATCCCTGTTGGCGAACATGTTGGGTTTCACTGGCAGTACGAGGCCCCTTCTCGAGCTGAGGCTAAAGGGAGAGGGGAAGAACGAGTAGGCTCTACTAACCTAGCCGACGGAAAACGCATGGAGGGGCTTTAGTCTACATCATCAGAGACACAGCTGGAATGACTGCACGTGCGCTCCTAGCAGAGGAAATGCCAGTGTGCGTGATGTCACCATTTTTTGTGGAAGTGGCATTAGCTGCACAGCGGCCTCGACGTGGTCGCGAGGTAGGGCTAACAGCACTAAAATTTGGTGGGCTTTTGACCCATTTTGAACCACGGTCGTTGCGGATCTATTAATCAATATTACAGATATTCATTCGTACCTCAGATGCGTTACCTCAGATGCGTTTTAGGCCGCGAATCGCTACTAGGGGGTCGATAGCCACTTGTTGACGTAAAAATCTTGACATGAGTAAATTTGATGTCAGTACTCCTTTAAAAGGAATCAATCAATCACTTTTATTATAGTGTTGCATGTTCATAACTACAGCAAGCAGAATCATACAGAATAGAATCTCGAAGTACAAAAATGCAAAAGTACTCCAGTGAGCTCGTTTTGTACTCCCCCTCTACCGGGTGCCTCCCAAACTGGGTCGCAGTTTTGGCACGTTGAGTTTTAGTTTGATTAATTTCGACTGCTTACTGCCCCGCAGGTTCAGAACATCTGGGGTCCATTCCTAGTCATTGCCCCAGCGTCTACGTTGCACAATTGGCAGCAGGAACTGACCAAGTTTGTTCCCAGGTTCAGGGTAAGTGGTACGGTCGGCACCACCTTGGTAACCTTTTAGAGGGAGGCGAAAGCTATACAACCTGTTCATGTAGACTGTTAAACCATGCTTTGAAAAATCTGCTGTTATCAACCTCACCATTATAGGTGCACATTCTAACATGCATATGATAACCTACATATAACAAATTATTTGCCTTCATTATGAGTGGGAGTCACCTGCTGAAACTGCCACCGGTGTTCATCACCTGGTGCGAGCTGCACCTGTATGCATAAATGGCACTTGCGTTCGCATGTGTACTGTAGCCGAGCGGTAACACCAGAATGCAGGATTATGTGTGTATTAATGTCTGTACGTTTCACCGAAGATCAGATTACTGACAACCGCACATGCCACAATCATTGTGCGGTGTTACTTTTTTTTCACTGAGCACAAGTCTGCCCAAATGCGAGTTCGATGTTTACTGGGCTCTAAGCTGATTATGCTTGGCGACAGTGTCTCTCTGCATGTTATTCTGTGGCAGTGTCACTCTGTCACTCTGCAATAGTGTCACTCTGGCCCAAAATCTTTAGTGTCTAGTGAGTGAAAGTAACTACTCGTTAGCCATTCCTCAATTAGGCAATCAGTGCTAACTGAAATAAACGTGGCGGTGATACCTCCAACAGCGATTGTCTCAGAATGTGGCCTCACGATTGACTTCTGCATTTTTTTTCCCCTGTCACTACCACAAGGCTGTATGGCATTGTCTTCTTCTTTCACTCGGTTTTGTTGTTTGCCCATTAACTTTTTCTGTGAAAATATACTAAGAGATTGATAATTAAAAAGTTGGATATTCGGACCGGTTGTCTGATCCTTGCCACCATTCCTCAATGACTTCAAGATCCCGTTATTGAAGTATACTTGGCTGCAACGCAGCTAATTCAGATGAGCGCGCTGAGCAGTCCTTTGAAATTCAAAGTAACGAGCCTTTAGTATACCGACTCTTGTAGCTAACTCTGTTTCACCAGTGTTTCAAAGAAGGAAACTGCCTCGTCGTCGTCTGTCTCACCAGGTGGTGCCGTACTGGGGCAACACGAGCGACCGCAAGGTGCTGCGCCAGTTCTGGAATGGCATGCACCAGCTGGGTGGGGAGCGCGCCTCGTTCCACGTGGTGGTCACCTCGTACCAGCTGGTGGTGCAGGACGTTAAGTACTTCCAGCGCATCCACTGGCAGTACATGGTGCTCGACGAGGCACAGGCCATCAAGAGCACCTCCAGGTGAAGTAGCCCCTCTCGCTTAACTCTTTCCAGTACGGTGGTCACCCCGGGTAACCACCTTTTTTCATTTTTTTTCTCTTGGAACACGTACGCCCTCACGTCAGATGTTAAATGGCGCTCATTTTAAAGCTTTCGGCAATCTGACAGAGATGACCCTACTTCGTTTGGGCTTCAATGCGACATGTTACGTTTGCTTCCTTCCGGCTGCCATTGTCCTCCAGGTGCACTAGACTGTGGTCCCGAGATACCTTTATAGATATAAAAGTATGTGCTGTTATTATTATGCTAATAGCACAGGAGAGCATATTGTGTGAGTAGTTAATGCTAGGGACGATAGACTTTCACCGAAAGTGACCAGTAGACCCTTACTGCATGGTGGTCACCTCAGCTGACCACCTCATATCTTTTTTGGCACTTTTTTGTTTCTTTCGAGAAAATCATTTTCTGCAAAAGATTTTGCACTTTTTTTTAATAAAGCTGTTTCCAGCCAAGAATGGAGTTCTGTGCATACAGAAGTTAAAGGAGTACTGTCACGACAATTTTTAAAGAAGATAGTCTTTCTTGGGATTCTCGAATGCAGAGGGATATCACTCTCTGCACTGGATTTATCAAGATTCTCCCAGGAGCATCTGCTGACCCGACCAACGCCGCTCGCCGCCCTGAGCCTAGCTGGCTCAGCGCGCGTCCGGCTCCTTGCCTAAGCCTGGTGCAGCGTCTCACGCTACTCACATCGTCGTGCCCAGCCGCCCACCGGAATGGAGTGCGTCGTAGAAGGTCATACCATCTCTGAAGAGGAGTGGTCCGACGATTCCTGGCAATCGCCCGGCTATCGTGCCCAGGAACGACGCCGACGGGAACTTCAAAACCAAGGCAAGCCCGTTCTTCAACCGTGTACGTCGGAGAATGCCCGCGCCGCTGTGCCGGAACGCCAACCCCAGGTCAAGTCACGTCCGCCTCGGTTACGTCGGCGGGCACCACTCCCCCGATTGCCGCAAGACTCCATTCATATAGTAGGACGTCCAAGAACGCCCATCGACTTGACGAAAGTGCCGCCGTGGCAATTGCACGACGCCCTGCTCAAGGCAGCTTCACTGCCAGATCAGCCACCAGCAAGTCGGGATCGCCTTCGGACGCACCCCACCAATAATACCTTTACCTTGAGCGTGATCGACTCGCAACGCGCCCAAGCCTACCTTCGAGTGAAGTCGATTACCATCGGCGCTGCTACTATCGAGCTCCATGTCTACGCCCCCCCTCCAGACGACGCCATACGAGGCATCATGTTCCATGCATACGATGACTTCTCAGACGAAGAGATTTTGGCAGACCTACAAGCCAGCAACCCCACCATTCCTATCGTGAGTGGAAGACGCTTGGGCCAAACTAGGCACGTCGTGGTTGCACTAATGACGCCAAACCTTCCAAAGTGGATATTCTACCACGGAACCGACATCAGGCTGTACCCGTTCTACAACAGGGTGGAATCGTGTTTTAACTGCCGCAAGGTTGGTCACCGCACGGATGTTTGCCCGATGCCACGTAAGCAGCGGTGCCGCCGTTGCGGAGAGGAACACCCCACACCAGGACAGGGCGAAACACCCGCATGCACGCCACGCTGCATCGTCTGCAATGGTGCACACAACACCGGCAGCTCAAACTGCAAGTATCGCTTTATCAAGAAGGCGCCACCCACCCCGCAATCGAAGCAAGAAGCGCAAGAACCTTCGTCGAACATCCATCGCAACCCATCTCACAGTGGCTCCTCCAGCAGACGCTCCCCATCATCTCGAGACCATTCTGCATCTCTCCCACCACTCGGGAACAGCAGCAACCAGCAGCAGCGCCGAGAGAGCAGGTCCCCATCCCACACCCGGCGCTCAGGGTCTCGTTCAGCTAAACGACGTGGCAGCAGGTGTCGATCCCACAGCAGGCGCCCGAGGTCACGCTCAGCCCAACGACGAGACAGCAGGCCCTCATCTCACTCAAGGTCCAAATCAGCCAGGCGCAGCCCATCGGTGTCTCGTTCATCCAGTCGAGGTCCCGGAGAAGCGTCCAAGTCGGTGGCCTGGCAGCGGGGCGCCCCGGCATCACTACTATTTTCCGATTCACAGGTGAGGGAGTTGGCAAAGGAGAATTCTGCCCTTAAGGCTCAAATCTCGGCCCAGCAGTCCCAGATAGCTAAATTGACTAGCTACATCCAGTCTCTAGAAGCCAAAATAGATAGAGCACTCAGTATCGACAAACAAACTACACCCACATCATCCGAAACACAAGACGCACATCCGAACCCCCTGGCACCAAACCCGGCGTTATCGCCAGTTCCTCAACTTCAGAACGCTAATAAACGCAAGGCAGCTACACCCACAGCTTCACTCCACGCAGACGCCGACATCACTACAAAAGTAACGACGGCAGTCACGGCAGCCATCTCAACGCTGAAATCCGATCTGAACGCTGAAATAGAAACGCGCTTTAATGCGATCCACCAAACCATCCGGGAAACAACCACCTCATTCGCCGTGTTAAAGAGCTCGACCGAAGCTGCACTGGCTGACTTCAGTGTGCAGTTGGCCATCCACCGCACACCATCCAATAGCCGGCAAACACCGGCCCCTACGCCAATAACATAGTCATGGCGGCTCTCCACACGCTCACCGTCTGGCAGTGGAACTGCAGGAGCTTCCGCAATAAGAAGGGCCATCTGCAGCAACATATCCAGCATATTCAAAACCATGCACCAAATGGGGAATGTTCGCCGGACATCATAGTTTTACAAGAAACGAACACTGCCGCTCAACTGCCCGGATACGCATCATATAATCAGAAAATAGACATATCCGCGAGCGCACAATGCCACACTGCCATCTTAGTACACAAGAATGTCACAGCCATTCAACATGAAATTGAGGGTACGAGTATTCATCACACACTGGTGGAAATTATACCAAAAAGACGAGGAGACAAGCCACTCTTCATTTTAAATATATACAGCCCTCCAAGAGATACAGCTGCGGATCTACCTTACATCTTTCGGAAAGCAACAAATCTGGCGAAGGATGCAAAGCTGCTCGTACTAGGCGATTTTAACGCAAAACATCCCGAATGGGGATACCCGAAATCCAACCCCAAGGGTCGCCGATTATGGAGCATCATACACGACCTAGGTTTCAGTATCCTCAATGATCCGGAGCAATCGACGCGAATCGGGAACAGCGTATGTCGAGATACTACCCCAGACCTCTCCCTTTGCAAAAACACGGAGGGTGCCCGTTGGCAAAACACAGGTCACACCGTAGGAAGTGACCATTTCATTCTAGCGGTAACCATTGAGTTAACCACAAGCAATGTAAAAAAACGAGCCACAGCTCGCATTACAGACTGGGATAAATTCCGCCAACTGCGCAAAGAAACGGCACCCGATTCGGTATTGGACTTGAACGAATGGATACTTTCTTTGAGTCGAGATGTGGACGCTACAACATACCAAGCAGACGTAACTCCGGAACAGCCATCAACAGATTCACGCCTTCTACATATGTGGGAGGCGCATGAAAGCCTCATGCGTAGGTGGCGGCGCCAACGTCACAACACAAGGCTCCGCCGCCGCATCTCGAGGCTCGAACGTGAATTAGAAGCCCACACCGCTGTGCTAACACGCCAACAGTGGGGCCAACTTTGCGGCAGCCTCAATGGCCAGATGGGCTGCAAGAAAACGTGGCATCTTCTGCGACACCTGCTGGACCCTGGTAGCTCCAAGTCGGCCGCACGCAAACAGCTCGCGCGAATTGTCCATCAATACCCGGGCACCAACGAAGAGCTGCTGGAGGAGCTCATCACCCGCTACATCAACACATCTCAGAAACAGAACAGCACAGAGCAGTTGCCTGAATACACTGGAACAGCCAACGAACAGTTGGATGCCGACATTTCGGAAAGTGAGGTTTGCATAGCGCTACATAAACTGCGTACAACATCGGCACCCGGTCCTGACGGGGTGACAAATAAGACGCTGCGCAACCTCGATCCAAAGTCGGTAGGGGCCATTACTGAATATATGAATGAGTGCTGGAGGTCCGGCCATTTGCCATCAGAATGGAAACACGCAAGGGTCGCGTTTATACCGAAACCGGGCAAGAAACTCGACCTGGAGAATCTTCGTCCAATCTCGTTGACCTCCTGCCTGGGCAAACTAATGGAGCATGTTGTCCTCTGTCGCTTGCAAAATTTCGCGGAAGAGCACCGCCTACTTCCCCCCACAATGCTGGGCTTCAGGGCCCATCTATCCACTCAGGATGCGCTCATCCAGTTGCATCACGATCTCCTACGACCTGAGAGTGGCACTAGTACCAAGGCTTTGCTCGGTCTGGACCTTCACAAAGCATTTGACAACGTGAAGCATAGTGCCATTTTAGGCAGTCTGTCCGAACTACGATCCGGGGAACGCATATTTAACTACGTCCGTGCTTTCTTATCTAATCGAACGGTTGAACTCTCAGTGGGTGACCTTCGTTCTAAGCTCATCACACTCGGTGATCGCGGCACCCCGCAGGGAGCTGTTTTGTCCCCTTTCCTTTTCAACCTCGCTATGAGGTCACTACCTCCCAAACTTGACACGATACCCGGCCTGCGATACACCCTCTACGCAGATGACATCACGCTCTGGACGACGGTGGGATCCGATGGTCAAATCGAGGAGACTCTTCAAAGAGCAACCGACGTAGTCGTTCAGCACGTGTCAGAAGCGGGTTTGGAGTGTTCCCAGAGCAAATCGGAGCTACTATTACTGCGACCTCCAGATCGCCGCAAAATTAAGACTCCACTTCCTAGTATTAACGTGTATGTCAATGACACGCCAATTAAGCAGGTGGCCCACATGAGAGTACTCGGACTCATTGTGCAAACAAACCACCACAACAACATTACGCTAGACCGTCTCACCGTAACCGTGAACCAGACGGCCCATCTTATATCTCGAGTGAGCGCTCGCAATCGAGGCATGA